ACTGCACGGGGCCCGAGGGGAGGGTGATCTGGCCCTTCTTGCGGAGCACCCCGACGCGTCCCTTGGCCCGCTTCGAGCCCACCGCCGCTTTGGCCCGGTCCACCGCCAGCTTGCTCTCGATGCCCGTCGCCGTCGTGCCCCGGAAGAAGCCGAGCATCCGGGTCGCGAATCCTTTCTTGGGAGGGTGCGGGTGGATCTCCTCGTGCTGCGTTGAGTCAGTCTGCGGCTGTGGTGTCGGGGCAATGGCCGCGTTGATCTCTTCGTCTGTCGCGTCGAGGTTGATGTCCTCGTTGCGGACAGGGGCGGGTTGGTCGGGCGTGGCGTGCAGGGAGTGGGATGGGGGAGGGGCAAGAGGCGCGCCATTGGCTTCGCCGATGCGGAGGAGGGTGAGTGTGAGCTGGGCGTTGGTGGGGATGCCCTTGAGGAGGGAGCTGTGGCGGATGTGTCAGTGCATGAAATGATGTTTCCGAAGGTCTGGGAGGGAGGCATACTTCTGGAGCTCGAGGAGTTTCTCCCAGCGGGGGAATTCACGGTTCAGGTACGCCACTCCACGTCTGATGATTGGGTCACCGAAGAATGCAAAGCCCACGCCAAAGGTACTCATCTTGACGAACATGTGACTGGAGATGATGAGGGACGCGAGGAAGCCTACTGATAGCACGCTCGCCAGGCGGAGGCATGGAGTGATCATGGAGAAGGGAGGTGTCGGAGACAAAGCACTGCCGATCGTCAACCACAGATCACCTTGAGGACTCGTGAATACGAGACGGGACCACTTACTTGCCAAACCTCTCGTAGGTGTCGATGATATCGGCAAGGATACGCATGGCTAGGTTTGCAGCGTTGTAGACGGTATCCCTCATGGGCTCCTTGGTTTTATCGTGAGATTCGTCCGTGCTCTCTCCGTGGGCGGCCGTCTGCGCATCCGCTGCGCTGGTGGCTATCTCCATGGCATCTGGCACAGATGACTCAATAGGCGCATCTTCGGGGGTCCCCTGGTCATGTTTGCCGGCGACGCTACCCACGGCAACACTCGCAACACTAGTGATGAGATTCGAAGCCTCTCTTTCGGCAGCTTCACCCTTCATCTTCTCCGGTGCCCCCGTGATACTGTCGTGAGAGCCCAAAACACCTGCCTTAGGTTTCTGTATGCCCCCTGTATCCGTGCTTACCAGCGGAATGGGCGCAGGAGGGAACAAGATTTCGCGAGATTGGGGAGAGACAACCAGGACGAGAAGGACAGCGAAAAGCGTAGGCGCAAGGAGGTCAAGCATCCATGCAGCGAAGTAGACCTAGATTCGTGAGCCTGTCAATGTCATGCTAACCGAAACAGCCGTTTGACGTCAACGTACAATGCAGAACCCCGCTGTCCGGTTGCGCTCGCGCCATGAACGTAGCCTTGCAATATGTTTCACAAAGGCAGTCAAAGACACAACAATGCTAGTATAGAACCGCTCGAGGGTTGCTCGCAGTTTGTCAGGGGAAAACTGTTCGTCTTCCGCGCGGTTCAGGTCGAGCCGCTGGAGGGGAGCCTCCGGCAATGCTTTGACATAGTAGATTTGCTGCGAGAGTCAGTGGCCGGAGCGGAGCTTTCTTAAGATGAATCAGGATGACTACCTTGTTGAATCGTCGGATGAGCATCCATAGGTCTTCATTCGACAAACCTGAGACTACACGCTCGTGGATTTGTTCCGGCGGTTTGTCCCATCCAACGTCCGTGATAGTATCGGTATCTCCAGCCCTCTGGGCGAGCCCCTTTTCATCCTGATCTACTTTGGACAAGACATGGCTATCGGTCGGTCCGGATATGTCGGCAGTGGTGCGTTCAGCGTCTAGGATGCCTGCGCGACTGTTCTTTGTGCTGTAGGATACTTGCTGTACATTGTTGTTGGTGGTATCGAGTTGAGACATGCTGCAGATGGGGGGTCAAGAAGACCACACATTAGCAGGGATTAGGAACGGAGTCGAGCAGCATATGTTTGGGAGGAGAAACGGAGCTGGCGCATGTCAAAGGGCTTTTGAAAGCGAGTTGAGAGGTGGAGGGTGGGTAATCGACGTCATCGCATGAGCCAGGCCAGCCCGCAGATCGGAGAACTGGTGTTCCTGTATCTTGCTGGGGAACTTTAGCTTGATCTCACTGACATATGCGTACCTAATATAACTCCACTCTGTCTACTTACCGGCATTTGACTTTCTTTCGGCAGAAATCTGTTTCTAGTGCGACATTCCAATTCTTGCCTTCCGTGCAACTCGGTCTTGTAGTACAGGAGGTACAGTACCTTTGCCCGTGTAAGAGTATAGTCACCCGCGCAACCAATGGGAACTCGCGAAAACCAGGGGGTACAGCACCGCCACTAGTTGAGCCACAATTATATCATGCACCAGCCACAAGTGGCAATTCGCCGAAAGAGGAAATACGCGTGAATCTCTCGGCCAGCGCGTTGGAAACGAGGTTGACGTCCAAGCCGCAACGTCACGTCGCAGGGCCAGACCTTCGCAAGTGGCCACGCAAGCCGTCCATCGGAACTCCAGATGTGATGTGGAGATGACATGATTTCCTGCATCTCTTTCATTGGCGTGTCATCGAGAATTGCCGTATGCCCATGGGGTCTAGCTTTGCCGAAACATGAGCGAAACATGCGCCAATCCCCTGTTGCTGGGGTGGATCAAAGAATGGCTCGACCAGGCACGAGAGCGCAATAGCAAAGGAGCGATCGTGTGAGTAGTGTAGAGTGTATCAGATCTCCGTGGGTAGATATATTGACTGATGCTTGGACAGGTACAAGAAGGCTTATGATTCCATGAAAGCTTGCCCACTGGTCTTCCAGCATCCCTCGGAAGCCCAACAACTTAACGGATTGGGTCCGAAACTATGCGATCGCTTGACGGAGAAGCTCAAGGAGTACTGCGAGGGAAATGGCCTTCCCATGCCCGAGCACCCCCACAAATGTTGGTTCCATGCTTCTACGCTTCTACCGCCTTTTTGGATATTGTTTTCGTTCTAAGATCGACGGCAGCTAGGAGTAAAAGGAAATCCGACGAGGGGGGGACAACAGAGACCCAACCTGCGAAGAAACCTCGGAAGACCAAGCCATATGTGCCAACTCTGCGGTCTGGTCCTTATGCGATCATCTTGGCTCTCTCGACCCTGGAAGAGAATGCATCCCAGGGCATGACAAAAGCACAGCTAATTGAGACAGCGCAGCCACACTGCGAGAGTTCGTTCACAGCCCCGAGCGACTCATCCAAGTTCCACACTGCATGGGCGTCAATGAAGACCCTCCTTCAGAAGGAGCTTGTCTACGATTACGGCCGCCCACTGAAGAGATACGCTCTCACGGAAGAAGGCTGGGAAGTTGCCAAACGAATTAAGGCGGCTGCGCTGTCAGACCCGAACCAAAGAACGCTATCTTTCCGAGCTGAGTCTGTGAGTCTTTCTGATTACCTAGATCCTCCAGCCGTTTCCTCGATCACCTAACGAGATTTTTCTCAGACTCAGCCCGCTGCAAGCAATGTCCCCTCTGATCGCGCACCCAGCAATGTCATACCACCGGCTGTCCGGCAAGAAAGCATCGGCTACGAAGCACCACCTCAGAATCCCCGAGCTTCTCATGCAATTGATGCAGCGTTTGATGGAACAGTTACTCCTATCGTGATCCCACCGAACAGCTTCACAGTCCAGCTGGTCCTGGACGTTCGCGAAGTGCGGTCCTCCCGAGACAGGGACTACCTCGCCAACGAGCTCAGCAAGAAGGGCGTCACCCCCGAGGTGCGCGCTCTCGAGCTAGGCGATGTCATGTGGGTGGCCAAGTTCCACGACCCCACGTTCTTGTCTCAGTACGGCGAGGAAGGCGACGAGATCATGCTGGACTGGATCGTGGAGCGCAAGCGCCTGGACGACCTCATCGGCTCCATGAAAGACGGCCGCTTCCACGAGCAGAAATTCCGACTCCGCCGCTCCGGGATCAAGAACGTCATCTACCTCATCGAAGAATTCACCTTCAGCCAAGACCCCACCATCACCTCGAAATACAACGAGATGGTCGCCTCCGCCATCGCGTCCACGCAGGTGGTGAACGGCTACTTCGTGAAGCGCACCAAGAACCTGGACGACTCCATCCGCTACCTGGCGCGGATGACCTGCCTGCTGCGCAAGATGTACGGTACCGCGTCGTCCCACGAAGCACCACCACCTCCGTCTCACACCCTGGCCTTGATCCCCAGCCGGCAGCTGCCGTCCTCGGAGTCGTACCTCGAGACGCTCGAGCGGTTCCGCGCCGAGAAGCCGGGCACGACCTTCGCCGTGACCTTCTCGACGTTCTCGGCGCTGACCTCCAAATCCGACGTCCTGACGCTGCGCGATGTCTTCCTGAAGATGCTCATGTGCATCCGGGGCGTCACGGGCGAGAAGGCCTTAGAGATCCAGCGGCGGTGGCCGACCCCGCAGGCGTTTGTCCAGGCATTTGAGGCGTTGGGGGTCAAGGACCGGGAGAATCTGGTCTCGGATCAGATGCAGACACTCGTGACGCGGAAGAAGATCGCGAAGGTGCTGAGCAAGAAGATCGCTGAGGTTTGGGGTGAAGATGGATAGCTGTTACAGATTGGTCGTTCATCGGCATTGGACTTGGATGTATTGATATTGTGGCTGAGTTGGGGTTGGCGAAGCTGGAACGCTTGGCCTTATCAGGTATTTAACTTTGGTGTTTTACTCTCACGCAATAGAGCTAGACACTACATAGACACTGCAGCATGGAGAATTGATATTCATACCCCATGTTCGGCCCCACCTGATGATAGCGACTTTGCAATGCAACTATGCCAGACAGATCTCTAATTCGTCGTGGATGATCACTACGAAACCATATGGACGCACCCAATCGTCTGCACATAATATTCGATTCATCAGATCGATTCAAGTAACCATGATATAAGTCATCAGTCATTATCATACACCAAGAAACTCCAGCCCAAACCATCCACCCCGATTACTACCCCCCCCCCTAAGCTCTTCCTGCCCTGCGATCCCTCCTCACCGTCCACCTCCACTCCCCCGCCAACGCCAAACTACTACACACGACGGAGATACTACTCAACGCCATCGCCAACGACGCCCACACGGGACTCAGCCGCCAATGCGTGGCCACCACCGCGCCCGGGGCGGGGTGCTTCCGCCCGCTCACGAGCGGATAGAACACGCCGGCCGCCACGGGCACCAGACAGCAGTTGTAGACCAACGCCCAGGCGAAATTCCACTTCACCCGCCGAAAAACCCGTCGGCTGAGGCGCACCAGCTGCAGGATGGCGGCCAGGTCCGCGTGCAGCAGGATGAAGCTGGCGGAGTTGATGGCCACGTCCGAGCCCGTGGCCAGCGCGATGCTGACGTCTGCGGCTGTCAGGGCGGGCGAGTCGTTGATGCCGTCGCCGACGAAGGCGACGATCTTCCGGCTGGCAGAGCGCTGGGATTCGAGGTCTGCTGATGATGATGACGCGGGGTTCTGGATCGAGCGGATGAAGGAGGCTTTGCCGGCCGGGGTGACGTTGGCTTGCACGTGGGTGGGCGGGATGCCCAGTTGCGAGGCCACGGCCAGCGCGGTGGTGCGGTTGTCCCCGGTGCACATGTAGACGGAGATCTGGCGGCGGTGGAGCGCGTGGATGATGCGGGCGGCGGAGGGGCGGACTGTGTCGGTTATGGCGAAGAGGAGGGCCGGGGTGAAGGGGTTTTTTGTGTTGTTGGTATTGTTGGGAGTGAGGGAGCGGAGGAGGAGGATGGCGGTGGATTTGCCGGCGGTTTGGTGCTGGGTGAGCCGGTTGGTCAGGTCGGTGAGGCTTGGGTCGTCGGGGTTGGTGTTGGTGAGGGCGTGCAGGAGGCGTTGGTTGCCGATGGCGGCTTCGAACTGTTGTTGTTGTTGTTGTTGGTGGTGGTGGTGGTGTTCGGTGCCACTGGGGCTTCTGGTGGTGATGGTGAAGGTGCCTTTCATGCCTTGACCGGAAATTTCCTCGATCTCGTCGACGCTGGAGACTTGGGCGTATGGCTTCTCGCGGCAGAAGTTGGCGATGGCCCGGGCGATGGGGTGGTTGCTGCTCTCTTCCAGCTTGCGGGTGACGGTCCAGGCAATGGACATCAGGTCTGGGTCGGTGATGAGCTCTTCATGGTCAGAAACCTGCAGGCTGCCTCCTTCGGTGAGGGTCCCGGTCTTGTCGAACACGATCGCGTCGAGACGACTCGCTTCTTGGAAGGCTTCGCCGCCGCCTTTCACCAAAATCCCCTGTCGAGCAGCCAGACCGCCGCCAACGAAGAGCGCGGTGGGCGCGGCGAGGGCAAGGCCACAGGGACAGGCGACGACAAAAACCGCGATCGCGAACTCCAGGCTCCAGAACGTCCAACCGCCGCGGCTGACGTCGAGGTAATCCTCGGGAAGCGTTCCAGACAGGCCAAGGGAGAGCCAGATGACGAAGGTCAGAATGGCGATGAGGGTGATTGTCGGGACAAAGTGAGAGGTTAGGAGGTCTGCCACCCTCTCGAGGGGTGCTCGTCTGCTCTGGCCTTCTCGTACTACCGAGATGATTTGATCCAACATGGAAGAACTTCCAAGTGCAGTGACCTTGACATCAACGGGCTGTCCCATGTTGACAGACCCCGTATACACAGGGTCGCCCGCTGACTTGTGCACGGGTTTCGATTCGCCGGTCAATGAGCTTTCGTCGAACTGGTAGGAGCCGGTCCTGACTACCACGCCGTCGGCTGGGGGCGAGGCTCCGTGGGGAATGCTGACCACATCGCCGATTTCCAGCATATCGACACTGATCCGTTGGTAGCCGCCGTCTTTGGTGTCGGCTCCTGTTTCTGCGCCGCCCGCAACACTTTCAGAGACCTTGAGCAAGGCCTCGCTTGGTCGCAGCTTTCCGAGCGATGCAACTGCGTCACCCGTCTTGGCCTTGCTGTATGCCTCCATAAAGCGCCCTGCAAGGATGAACATGGTCAAGAAGACCACGGTATCGAAGTAGGTAGAGCTATGGGTGCTGGAGGAAGGCCCCATGGAGGCATCCATGATAAGCACAGCCAAGGAGGAGACATAAGCCACCATGGTGCCAGCGGAGATCAGAAGGTTCATACTACCGAAGCGGTAGAACCGCCGCAGGATCGGTACACGACTGCCCGGTCGCCAAAGCGAGTAGATCTCTTTCATCGCTCGCGCGTGGAATATGTCCGCACCGTAGAACATAACAGGTGTGGTCATGATAAACAGTGCCCACTCGAGGCGCGACGCATCGCCCGCCCACATTGGCTCTTCAAGGTACTTGCGAGTCGGATTGTTCGATGACACCAAAGTCATGAATACGATCCCAAGTAAGAAAGTGGGGATAGCCACTGCCAAAACAAAGATGAACCGAGTAAGGAGGCGCCGTCTTTCATGTCGTTGCATCGCGCGAGACCGGTCTTCCACACTCGGGGGGTGGTATACAGTGGCTGTAAATGACTCGTGCGATTTGCTGATGGTTTGCAGTATCGTCCTTACGGTGAGGGAGGGGGGTTCGGGCGTATATGTCACTGTGAGAATGGGGTTCTTGACGGAGAGCGCACCCTGCACCTTGACATTTGGCAGGCCTTCGACGGATTTGAAGATCTTCTCCGGGCAATGGTGACAGAACATGCCATCCACGTGAACAGAAACCGTTCTTTCTTCAACGATCTCGCTCTCCTGGGATGCGCCCTTGGGAGAAACACTGTTGATCGAAGCATCGTACCCTAAGTCTTCGATCTTTTCCACAATAGCGTCAATATTGTTACGGTCCTGAAATTCGACTCTTCCGCTGTGAGTTAAGAGGTTGATGGACACTTCTACCACGAAAGGCAGTTCTTCAAGCCCGCGAGTGACCGCGCCCGAGCAAGAACCGCACGTCATGCCGCTGATGGCAATTTCTGCGACGTAAGTCGGCGTAGGCCCCTTGCGTTTCGGGGGAACAGTCAGGCTCTGGACCTCATCGAGCGAAGCTTCAAAACCGATGTCCTCAATCTGCTCGACGATCTTCCCGGCATTCGCTCGCGGGCCACTGAAGATGACAGCCGCGCTGTTTGTGAGTAGGTTGACGGTGATATTCTGAACAAAGTCGAGCTGCTTGACTTCGTTGGTAATGCTGTTCGCACATGAGGCACAGCTCATTCCGCCAATGCTCACGCGCGCATTGAACTTCTCTTCTGGCGACTGCAACGAGCCATTCGCCGGAGAGGGTGACTGCGACGCCACGTCCTCTGTAGAACTCCCAGGCACTGGCCGCTGGGACACGCGCCCGGCGACCTTGTCGTTCGACGGGTCGGTGCTGGAATCGGCGCTGGCCTGGTAGCGCAGATTACCGTCCGACAGGTCGGCCTCAGCAGCAAGCCTCTCGAGCTCCTCCTGCCGGCAGGCATCGCAGTTCTCGATGTGTCGATTGCCCGGGGCCAAGGTTGCCGCATGCGCGGCACCGGGTTGCTGTTGACTGGGCCCGGCGGCGAAAATCGAGTCGCGGGGCAGCCACGCGGTCGTGTCAAAGTCCGCGACGACGGAACCCTTCGGCTCGTAGCTTGTAGCATGGTGCACGTCGAAGGAGGCATCAATCAGCGCTTTGGCCAGATCGGGCGGCTCCACGCCTGCAATGTGCATGACGCGGACTTCGTGCGTGAGGACGGACACATCAACCTTGATCACGCCTGCAATGCCCGATAGGACTTCATCGATGTAGGCGACGCAGGAGGCGCAGTGGATGTTGCTCACGAGGAATGTGCTTTTCAGTGACCGGGCGCTGAGTCCGGTCAGGGCGATGGCGCCGTTCCTCGTGGTGGGCTGCGACATGATTCATTCAACCACGAGGTGGCTGGAAAGGGAGGGGATATGTTTTTGGGACAATGTGTGCCAGAGATGTTTGCGGCTGGTGAGGAGGGGGAAGTTACGTGAGTCAGTTCATTCGTAATTCTCCGTGGTTGTCCTTGGCTCTTGGCTAGAATTGGAGAGAGATCGTGAGCATGGGCGAAGTGAAGTAAGGGGGAATAGAATTCTTAGAAAATTGAATGGAGACAAAGACGAGGAAGCATGGTATTAGTAGCTGTGGTAATGAAGTGATATCATTTATAATCATGGTTGGGGAGCAAGAGGCAACCTTGCGCGGTTTGTGCGCGGAAGACTCTGAAGCTCTAAAGAACGCACAAATCGCGCATTCCAGGACGAGGCCCGGAGATGATGTATGATGAGTAAGGGAAACTCCCAGACTGTAAGGCTGATTCGACCTGACAGACCAGTCAATTAGTTAAAAGGATACGCATGTTTATTGGCTAATGTATTCTGGATAGACCCGACATCAAAGCATGATTCTACAAGTTGCTTCTTAAAAACGGTGTTTGAGGTAATGAGGTACAGTACTCCTTCAGGGCTGAGTGGCAAAAAGCTTGAATGGATCGAGATCTGATTAGATCATCTATATTCTAGTCACTGGCCCGTCGAATTTATCCTACCACGCTAATCCTCATTATCTTTGTACGTGTACTCGATTATGCTGTAAATCGTGAATCATGAATTGTGAATTGTGAATCGTGATCAGGGAGAATATTAAGATAATCAAATCGCCCGCAAACGGGCAGAGGGTGGGTCGCGTCGACCAGGAAGCCCCTTTACAGACTAGCGCCATTGTAGGGTGTCATGCAGGATGAAGAACAGAAAACCCGAGACAAACAGTTGGACGGTAGAAATTAGAGAAAGAGATGATGAGCTAAGTGGAAAAATGGGACTATAGGAAAATGGGAAAATGCAAAAGAAGAAGAGAGCGGAAGGAGGATCGAACGGGAGGCATTGGAGCGTTTTGCAACTCCCAACGCGTGGACGCGACACGTGACCTTTCCGCTGGGCCACCGCGTCCTCCCCATCGCAATTTTCTTCTCACTCTTTCTCCCCCTCCATCTTCCTCCATCTCCATCAAAAAACCACTTATCGCGACTTTTACCACTTTACAACGCGTGTCGACACGTCTGATCCATTTCGCAATCTTGCGGAGATGCTCAACAGCCTCAACAGCCTCAACAGCATCAACAGCATCAATCTCCCTCACCGTCCCGTCGCACCCGAGTAACACGATCATCGGTGCAGCTGCAAGATCTGCGCGGAGTTACCCCGCACCTCCCCTTTCATTGTCATCCCTCCCTTATTATCCATTCTTCCCAAGCTCTCCCGACTCTTTCCTTACTCTCGATATCCCCGAACGCCGGCTGTGAGTCGGAACTCCGCTGCTCATCTCGACCATTAATCTACGCCTATTCATGCTTATGGCGTAACATCCAGCGCAATCATCAACCTCGTTTCAAGCCCCTTGTCCCATCTCCGCGGGGTAATTTGTCCTCACGCTTGATTCATCATGTCCGTCCCAAGACCTGGAATGCGGCCTATGCCGCCCAGAACTGGCCCCAGGGCGCCTCCAATGGGACGTCTGGCTAGTCTCAAGCCAACAGGCTTAACCCCGATCAGGCGGCCGCAGCCCATTTCCCGGCCTCAACCTGTCAGGCCGACTACTCATCCCAAGACGACGACCTGTCCTAACCCAGGCTGTCCGGCCCCTCATATCGTCGAGGATGACGGCCAGAAGGTCTGTTCCGGGTGTGGTACTGTCATTAGTGAGGCAAACATTGTCTCTGAAGTCACCTTCGGTGAAACGTCCTCCGGTGCTGCCGTCGTTCAGGGAACATTTGTCGGTGAAGACCAGTCACATGTTCGTAGCACTGGCCCTGGCCGGTTTCATGGAGGCACAGAGAGCCGTGAGCTTACGGAAGCCAACGGTAATCGTTATATCACGCAGCTGTCTCGCGCCTTGATGATCCCAGAGAGTGCCTCGAAGGCAGCCACCCAGGTGTTCAAGCTGGCTGTCGGCCTGAATTTCATTCAAGGTCGCAGAACCAAGACGGTTGCCGCGGTCAGCTTGTACATCGCCTGCCGTCGACAGGACGGCAACACGGTCATGCTCATCGATTTCGCTGATGTGCTTATGTTGAACGTGTTCAAGCTAGGTCGGACGTACAAGGCCTTGTTGGAGGAGCTGCGCCTCGGAGGCACCATCTTTCTCATGAACCCCATTGATCCCGAGAGTCTGATTTATAGATTCGCCAAACAACTTGAGTTCGGACCTAGCACAATGCAGGTCGCTAGCGAAGCTGTGCGCATTGTGCAGCGCATGAACCGCGACTGGATGACTACAGGTCGTCGTCCGGCTGGTATCTGCGGTGCAGCGCTGATTCTTGCTGCCCGTATGAACAACTTTCGCCGCACGGTCCGGGAAGTTGTCTACGTGGTGAAAGTCACCGAGATCACGATCAGTCAACGCCTCAACGAATTTAGCTCGACCGAGAGTGGTGAGCTAACCGTCGATCAATTCCGTTCGGTTCAACTGGAAAACGCACATGACCCGCCCTCATTTGCTCGGTCTAGAGAGGGTCGGAAACCATCGCGGTCCTTCAAGAGGAAACCCGCCGAAACTGCGGCTGAAATCGAGGGCGACGTACCGGAGGCACAGCAGCCGAGACGGGTTGATTCCGATGGCTTCGCGATTCCCAACCTTCCCATTGACCCGGCGTTGATGGCAAGCGATCTTAGTCAAAGACGGCCGTCGACTGCCTCTGTCACCAGTGACGCGACGTCCGAACTCGGCGAAGACGCTCAGGCAGGTCGCCCCAAGGGGAAAAGACCTCAACCGCCCCCTCCATCGGCCGAACAGATTGCGTCTGAAGAGGCGCTTGAGAATGAAATGGCCTCCTATCTGACACAGGGCTCAAATATGGTCGAAAGCACTGTCATTCCGCCCAAGCCAGCAGTGTCCGATAGCACCGAAATCGATGCTGCCGAGTTCGAATCAGACCCGGAAGTGGCCCATTGCTTGCTGTCGCCCGCCGAAGTCGAAATCAAGGAGCGAATTTGGGTGCATGAAAACAAGGATTACCTACGAGCACAGCAGGCCAAGGCTTTGAAACGCGCCCTAGCGGAAGCTGATTCCCAGCCTGGCGACGGCCGAGTCAACAAGCCCCGGAAACGCCGCAAGGGTAGATTGGGAGATGTCACGTATCTCGAAGGAGAAGGAGAAGATGGCGATGGACGAAGCACTCGTGCCTCAACCCCTGCTGAAGCGACTCGGCGGATGTTGGAACGCAGAGGGTTCAGTAAAAAGATCAACTACCGACTTCTGGATTCTCTTTTCGACGACGGAGGCGCTGATGAGTCCTCGAAAGCGAAGGCTGAGAGTGTCAGTCGAAGCCGAAGTCGTAGTCAGAGTGTGTTTTCTAGGCGCAGCGCTAGTATCGAACCTGAAGCAAATAGTCGGCGAGCTGGACTTGCAACTGCTTCGACTGCAGCGCCTTCTGTGCCTACGGTGTCGTCCACAGTGCCACCCGCAGTGCGTGAACCCGCACAGCAAGCAGCTCAGCCCGGCCCCTCAACCACCACAACAGAGAAACCGGCTGCGAACGAGGAGGCCCTGGGCCCTGCTACCGGTCAGAAAAATGGGTATTCAGACGATGAACAGGAGGAGGACGACTATGACGACGACGAGGACGCGGAGGATGGTGTCGAGGCGGCTTTCGCAGGACACTACGGAGACTACTACGACGAAGGAAGTGATTACTATGATAGTGACTGAGTTTAGACTCAGTTGCAGATCATCTTGGAAACAGATAAAATATCCAGGGCATGTATATAGAGCTAAAACATAGCTCCACTAGCTGGCAACGAACTAATAACTACCATTCCAGGTCTGATCAACCTATCTATAAATAGTAAGAACCAATTTCAAGCCTAAGCTGAGCTGAAGGACTAAATTGATTGAATGGATCTCAAAGCCCGTACTTTGGCCCAATATGGACTGAGATCCCTGAGGACTTGACCACCTTCCTGTTAGGTGAATATCACGTGAGACCGGAAAGTCTCAACAACAACAACAGCCTCGATCTTTCGTGTCTCCTGCTTGAGTCTGGGCCAGTTTCTGAAATCAGCCTTAGAGCTCAAAGGCTTGCAGCATGCATGGACGCAGTCTAAGCCTGGACGCCTCAAACGATAAGAGAGTAGCTCCTCGCCCATGACCGTCATCAAAGCGCCCCAGACTACAACACTGGCTTGTCGGCAATGAGAGGAGGCCTCGTCAGGCAGAGGAGCCCCCTCCCCCTCCCCAAAACCTTCCAAGCTATAGTCAATACCAAGGCAAGGGGTATACTACCTTGTCGGGCTCTGAAAGATGCTGCCAAGGTTCACATTTAGGCAGCTGCTCCATGGAAACCCTCGCTGGAGCTATACCTTCGCTCAACACTTTATCACTCCGAATGTTTACACTTCAAGTACAACGTCAACTCTGAATCTGATGACCACGATACCTTGCTGGTGATCTTTGGTTACACTCTCGCCTCCTTGAAACCGCGACTCCATGTCCAGATATAGCGTGGTTCCCAGTCGGAAGTCAACCTTCCGTGAGCCATGAGGAATGTGTGAGGCAGGGTTTCTCCTCGATACAGAATGCACGAGACAGCCGGATAGAATTACTGGATGTCACCATAATCGTCGTCTGACTCTGGGATCCTCACACTATGGCTCCTGCCCATCGTACTTTTGTGGTAACCCCGGTATAGAGCCGAACCCTTTGGTATGGAGGGTCGTCGCTCGATCTCTAAGAGGTTAGTATGACTTCAGCTATCGGTCCCAGATTAGCTACTTGCTCCAGGGAAACTCGGCCAGCAAGTCGTCATGCTACGTTGGCTCTCGTGCACCAAGTCCATGTGTCCCGGATCCACCGCCCACTCCGCGTTGAGCCCCCTTACTATCGTCGTCAATGGCAATCCGGTTCTTCAGGACTACATACGTATAAATACTGCTTGCGATATTGACGGTTGTGCTGATTGATTATCTGCGCTTGCTCAAGCTTGCCCGTTCCTATTCTGACTGGGATCATGGCGAAGCTCAACATCTATGGCCGAGGCTTCAGCCTTCGCATGGCTATCTTGTTCACTTGCCAGGTAGCGTTTGTTCTATTCGGTGGGTTACTTCGAACTGGTCTTGAAATGTGCGGTGCGCTGACCTGGCTCTTGGTGTTTTATAGGTTATAATCAGGGGATATACTCGGGGATTGTGTCAAATGAGGATTTTCTTGCCGTGGTGGACAACCCTGGTTCGGGCATGGTGGGATTCATAGTGGCCATATACAACCTGGGATGTCTGGTTGGGACGGCGATCTCTTTCCTACAGAGCGACAAGCTTGGATTTCGAAGGTCGATGTGGTTCTCGATGGCTGTGATTATGGTGTGTAAGTGTCTACATGTCAGTGACGAGGACTATGCTAACACGGGCGAAACCTTTGTCGTGCAGATTGGAGGCACAGCCCAAACCTGTTCCTTTTCTAGGACTCAGATACTCGTGACCCGCTTCTTCACGGGCATTGGAACTGGGGTGATGACAGCAGCCGTGCCGGTGTATCAATCGGAATTATGTGATGCACGGAAACGAGGAATGTATGTCTGCAGCCAGCCTCTTGCAGTCAGTGTTGGCATCTGCGTGGCCTATTGGTTCGACTACGGGTTGAGCTATGTCGACGGCTCCATTAGCTGGAGACTGCCGATTGCTTGCCAGCTTCTCCTCGCAGCTGGTGTGTCTGTTCTTATCCTTGGGTAAGCTCCCACTGCGTTAGATGTAGTTGCTGATCACAGTGATCTGACAATATCTAGACTCCCGGAGAGTCCCCGATGGCTGTATCGCCATAGAAGGGAGGACGCAGCACTGCGTGTGCTCTGCGACTTCTACGATCGGCAAGCGGATGACCCAAAAGTGATCCAGGAAGCAGAAGGAATCCGCCGGGCCATCGAGGCTGACAATGCTCGAGGGGAGTACAAGTGGTCTCAGATCTTCAAGAAGGATGAGCTGCACACCGGTCGACGCGTCTTGCTGGCCTATGGGCTGCAGTTCATTAATCAGATGGGTGGTGTCAACGTGATAGTCGTAAGTTGAAGCAGCTCGAAACCTCCACCACCACTACTGACCTCTTGCTAGACCTATTCGACAATAGGTAGAAACCCGACACTCATCAATACACCTGTGCGATAGCTACTGACACTTTGCCACCTAGTTCTCCAATACAACGTGGGCCTCGATGCCAAGCTCAGTCTATTACTGGGCGGAGTGATCGAACTCATGTTTGTCATAGGTATGTTCTCTCTCTTGAGACCATGATTGGGCCATCGGGACGAGGGCCGTTGACCACCTGCACCCCAGGCTCCTTTTATCCCACCTTCTACGCCGATCGCCTGGGACGTCGGGGCCCAATGATGTGGGGATCATTTGGCCAGTTCCTGTGCATGCTCTTGATCTCCATTCTTCTATCGTTCAAAGGTAAAAGAAAGCCCCAGCCTCTACCGTTCTGAAATGCCAAATCGGGCAAATGGTCGAACTATCAGGGATCCTAAATTCCGTCTTCCCAGGAACCGATCTCGAAAGAGCAACCGCCACGGCGTCAGTGCCATTCTTCTTCCTCTTCATGCTCATCTTCGGAGCCTCCATCAACTGCATACCGTGGGTGTACGGACCGGAGATCCTTCCCCTGCATGTCCGCAACAAAGGGTACGAAATTCTCCCGCCCTCAACCCCAATGAAACTGCACCCACCACATTCCAGCCGGTGGCTCCCCTACCAACTCAACTCCATCCCAGGAGAGAAGATGAGAGAACGATAACGAGAGCTATTTTTAATTCCCGCTTCTAGGTCCGCCATCGGTATCTCGGCAAATTGGCTCTGGAATTTCTTCGTCGCCATGATCGCCCCCGTCCTCATCAAGGATCTGGAATGGAAGGGGTATCTAATCTTCATGTGTTTCAACCTGCTCTTTGTGCCGGTGAGTTTTTCGTTCTCCCGTAGTTTTCTGGTGTGCGTGGTGTCCGGTCTAATGCGGGAGGGGCTGGGCCAGATCATTTATTTCTACTACCCTGAGACGGCGAACATGAGTCTTGAAAGCATCGACCAACTCTTCATGGATAAGAAGGCGTACCAACCGGAAGGATCGAGTGAGACTACCAAAGAATCGGTGACTTGCACGGAGGTTACGGAGATCAAGGCCGAGAGTTAGCTGATATCGAGGTAAGGTCCTTGAGGGAGTGGGTTAGATCTGGAAGGGCCTGTGTGGTGGGCGGAGACTCGGTGGGTCGGTTGGAGAGGAAGAGCTGGTCGAAGGTGAGATGTGAGATGTGAGATGTGAGGGTAGAGGATGCGTGTGGTTTTGTGTGAAGGGTCAGAGTTGGTTTGTCGTAGTTCAAGACAGTATTTAGCAAATCGTTTATATCCTGTAGAGCCAAGTACTAGACAAATGAATAGTTGCACCACGGTATACACCGAAATAACAGTTGTGAGGATGAAGCAGGGAGACGTGTACTTGGAAGTTGCTTCCTAGTCACACTCAAATCACCGGTGACCTTAGTAGCGGTAGCGTCCTGTAATAAGTAGAGGTAGTCTCCCTTGTCTATCATCGCTCAACTCCGCAACCACCGTAAAGAGCCTGAATGAACCGCAGAAAGTAGAGAAGGAACGAAAACATGAGCTCAAAGTTTGTCTGCTCCCCTTCCATTTATTCTTTACAGGCCATACTCCGCTGTCCCGTCCAGTTATCATTTTCGTCCGCCGCAAAGTCGCTCCCCACCCGACCCACCCACCATTCAGTTCATCATATATCACACATCATCAGTGATGGTCGCAGACAGATCTGCCGTAACCCTTCCAACGAGACTGCCCTTTCCTCGTTTTCAAGCGATGGAAATCGCAGCGAAAAGCTTACATGATAGATTCGGGGTGCAGGAAGGGCAGGAAGGGCTGGAAAGGAGGGGGGGGGTTGTCACTCACCACCATATGGGGTATGATTGTGCAGCATACAGTAGCGTACTGTATGTTAGTTGCGCACACTCGCGAAATTTACTCTATTGGATTAAGTTCTGCACTTGATTCGTTCGCTATTATTCTCCCCAGTCACTCATAACATGATGCCCGCCTTTTTTTATTAGTAGTAGAAAAAGCAAAGCTTGATCCTATGGAATTTGACCCTCAACGAGCTCGGGACACCTCTTCCCCCTCTCCCTTGTTGGCGGTTGGCGGGACAGCCCAAAGACCATGCTGCGTAGGGTCTTGTATGTTTTGTATACTCGGCCCCGATTGGTACTGTCCTGTACATACAGTACAGTCCTATCTAGGCATTCATAGAACCGTCTGCTGATGCACCAAGGGGAGAGAGGATTACATTGCCGCCCCCCCCCCCTCCTTTCCTCCTCCCCCACAGCACGGGGGTGGGGATTTCCTCCACGCTCAGCTCGCCTCTCGTTCGTTCACAAAGGCTGGCTGGCACCAAGCGTGGTGCACTGGATTATTTGTACGGTGTACGGAGGAGACTGTGCTGGATACGATAGATAGATACATACATAGAAGCCAAGCCCTAACCCAACCCGCCGCTGCGGAGGTTGCAGAGGCGCGGCGGGGTATAGTATCTGATCGCGATGGCCGGTGACGTCGGTTACTGAATGCTCAAACGCCAGCTGGTAGTCTCTATAGGGGAGTGCATTTGTCTACATGGCCGGAGAGAGGGAGATTCTAAGATAAGGGGCTGAGGTGGTGTAGTGGGGAGGTGTTTCGGTGGTCTAAGTTACAGGGTTGTCGTCGACGGGGAGGCCTTTTCGACTAAGCCCCCCATGCATGTGGTTGTTAGGGTGTGCTTCAAACTCCGCAGACCACACTACGTAGTCAGTCCGATTTCGAGAGCTGGAAGGGGCCAGTGTTGATACTAGGTTATCGATCTAACTAACGCTAGGGCGAAAGCGATAAACGAAGGGAAAGAAGCAACACAGGAAATCGTCGAGGCCCATTCTCAACGGCTGGCCGGCGGCCGGAATCCGGTCCGGCGGGTTGGCACCGCAGGACATCGCTCGATGGGAGAAATGATATGATGCTCGGTCGGACTGGGAGAAGTCCTCGCGATTGGACTGATCCGAATTACTTCCCAGTGGCTCATGAGATATGATTGTACTGAGTGCGACGGGTTGATTGAAGCGTGGGAATGAATTGGCATTACGGCGAGAATAAGTGGGAGGGCGGAGAAAGACGGACTGACCGCTCTTTCAGTCTCGCCTCGACCCAACCATCCCATCCCAGCCCAATCCCTCTTCCCCCTCTTTCATTTTCTACACAACTCCCAGTCGAGTCCCTTTCGTCATTTCTTCATCATTTCATATTTTCTTTCTGCTTTTCTCTTATGTCGGAAAATGGTGAGATCATGTCGGATGCTACATCACAGACATGTCAAGGAAATATCAACAAACGAGAAGGGAACGAGAACAGAGGAATCGAAAGGCAGATATGAAAAATACAGAGTCGAAATACCCATAACGGTCTCCCAGTCCTTGGGGCCATCCTTATCCCACCATGCCCCATACCGTCCAGTCCCGAGACGCCGATGTCCAAGAAAAAAGAGAAGAAAAAAGGAAAAGATTTCACAAACATATATCAATAAGATACGGACGGGCGTGATCGAAGAGAGGAATATCAAGTGCTGCCCGAAAACATGAGAATTAGGTTAGTCAGTCGGTGGTGCTTTTGCGTTCGCCGATTATCGAGGTCGTTGAATCGGTTTTCGGTCGGTTGGTATGCAAACTTTTCAGGGGGTTGTCGTTGTTGCTGACCGGATGCTGCGCTGGCTTTACGTGTCAATCTCCATCCCCGTCCCCATTCCTACGCTGCTGTTCAATCCAGCACCAAGGCCGGTGTCAACCATGGCGGGCTGGGCACAGAGGGTCTGCAAGAGAGGTAGACCAGGCTCCTGCTGAGTGGCCCCAAGGAGATTTTGCGAGGCCGCGGAGGGAAGGCTCTGAGCAGGCCGGTCGGAGGCGCTGAGAATCTGGGTTCCTTCGAAGACGATAGGGTTGGACCGCAGGTTCTGGAGGCAAAGGTCCCAGTTAGAGCCCACCAGTTGACCCTGGGTGAGGTCATCGCTGAAGAGGAAGAAGGCAGGCACGAATGCAGGACCCAGAGGCGTGATCGGGCGTGCGGTCACGAGATAGGCGTTCAATGCTCGATTCTTCATGAGGATTTCAGAATCCAGGAGGTATGCGGAAAACTGACGATCGATGTACTTCTTCCAACCACGCACTGCCGCCGCCATGTCCGAGTCCTCAGTCACAATCCGCTGCCAACTGATACCCAACATGCGGGTAGCGTCGTCGACTGTGGGCTCCTCCGGAGAAAGGCGCGAGCTTGCGGGGAGAATGCGGCGATTGTCGTCGGGGTTGCTGGCATCGTTGAGCCGGCTTTGAATGGAGGAAAGGGTGATATCGTCCACAGTCGGGGCGGAAGGATCGAGGCGCTGAGACTTGCGACTGAGAGGATCAGCTGTGCCGGATTGGAGCATCTGAGATCGAGAGGACACCGGAGCAGAATTGTTGACAGTTTTCTCCGCAGTCTCCTCGTACCACGTGCCGGTTTGACTTTCGGCAGAGATCGCCATCTTGGTACGAGGATTCAGCAGAACCATACCCGGGCCGTAAATGGGGGTTTCCGCTGCCTGTTTCGCAGGAACTGACGCTGGTACAACAGGTCCGCCAGAGCTTTGGACCTCATCGTCATACCCGACATCATCTCGCGACCTCTTGCGGGAGGGTCTGGCAGTGAAGGTATTGGAGGAAGTTGCAAACGCATGGGTGCCATTCGCGAAAACCGGCCCTCTGCGTGCATCAGCGCCAGGGTTGAAGCGGGACTGATGAGGATATTGAAGGAAAGCGTGTTCCTGGGGAGGGGACAGGACCATGGCCGGGCCGTCGGAGAGGCTGTTGAGCATCATGGGACACATGATGCGTAGGGGATCGCCGCAGAACGCAGGAGACTACGAAAAGAGCTGGAAGACGGAATCTGTTCTGTCTAGTGAGCGGGACCCAATAAGTTAGAACCACCTGTTTGAGCGCAAAGATCCGAGCCGTGAAGGGATCGAGCCCTAAGTGAAGGAGGTAAGGTCGAACAGGTAGGCCACGAGGAGATGGTGTAAGGAAGAGATAGGATGAGGGGAGGATTCAAGGATCAGATCAGAGCAAAGCGGGATTGAGAGGGTGCGGGTGAAAGTAGTAAAGGATGTGATGAGTTGAGAGAAGGGAGAAGAGATGGATGGAGGAAGGGAAAGGAAGAGAAGAGGAAGAGAAGACGACGGGAAGAGATAACAGAAGAGAAAGAGGGAGAAGGTAGGGTTATGCGAGACGGAGACAGGCGGCCAACAAGAGACGGAGAATCACGGGGTTAGAGGAGGAGAAGGAAGGTGAATGGATGAGTGGATGAATGGATTAAGCGACGCGAGAGAGAAAGAGGGAGAGGAAGTGCACGGGAGAAAGAAAGATGAGCTGCAGGTGAGAGGTGAGAGGTGAGAGGTGAGAGGTGAGAGGTGAGTGCGCAGTGCGCAGTGCGCAGTGAGTGAGTGCTAACTGCTGACTGCTGACTGCTGACGGATGCGGAACCAGCGATTGCAATGCGGAGAGATTCCAGGAAGAGCAGGATTTGCCTTGTCTCAGTTACCGTAGAATACTGTAACTTACGCACTGTAGTAGGGTGTTCTGCTGGGAGCAGCGCTGATCGGATCCGCGTGTGACGGTACAGTACGGCAACAGAGTCTGGGCTGCAGTGCGATCCACCCACCCTCGGATCAAGCAGCACAAGCAGCAGTAAGGACGGTGCCATTATTGGCCAATGGACAATTGCCTGGGGCAACCCATGCGAGTGGAGATCGTGACTGTTGGCTGGCGCTGATTGGGGGCCAGCTGTTGCTCCAAGAAAAGCCCAGTCCGCGCGTTGCAGCCCTGACTTGAGGTCCTTGCCGACGCCACCGCCTACCATTATTGGCCTGCGCCCTCAACTTCTGTGATTGGTGCACTTGCGGACAATCCACCGAGACACTTCCCGGCTCGGAGAGATTTTGCCCGCCGATCACCAACACCATCACCATCACCATCACCATCACCATGACAATCTGCTCAACACGAAAAATGGAAACGTCTATTTAGCTATAACAGGGTGATGCCTCATCATGTAGTAGAATATTGGGGGTGTCAAAAGGGAAAAAGGAGAAGAAAAAAAATGGTATAGTCACAAGAAGGTGGTGTCAAACACCACAAAGATATCAATGGGGAATATGAAGCACAAGAGGGAACGGCCAGACAGAGAAGCATCCAACTCCAATCCCTCCTGCGAATTAGGCATTTCCAAACATTTGTTCATCATCGCAGCCCACAGAACAAGACACCAAGCGAACCCCCTCTAAAGCTTTGAAACACCGGGATTCAGAAAATTGTAGAAAAAAAAAATAGAAAGGGAAAAGAAATAGTTCATAAGCACCGGAAGATGAGCGCTTCCGAGCCTTGAGCTGTGTCGACTAGGCACAAGCTACATTCCCCGCATGTGGCCGGCCCAGACAACCCCATCACCCTCCGGCATCTCCATCCCAAGCGGGAACATTATCTTAAGCCAATCGAAGCCATACATATCCAAACATGATTTTTTTTTTGAACAAACGGTTGATACCGGGGAGCTTTTTGGCCTCCATGTCATCGCCCTATAATCAGTCTGTGAGTCCCACATCGCAGACTGAACAAGGGACTCAATGACCCCAAGCAATACAACTATTGTGGGGGTAGGGGACTGCGCGTGAGTCCCTCTAAGCATTGCCAGCAGTGGCTCCACCGAGCATTCCCTTGACACTGGCAACCTGCTCGGGAGCATAGCTGGGAGCCATGGATCCCATAAGCAGGAAGAAGATCAGGAGACCGGCACCAATGATGATGAACTTGCGCTGGGCAGGGTGAGTGACACCATACTCGGCCCAAGCACGGTTGGCCTGACCAGCATACTCCTTGATCTTGTCGCCACCAAGCTTGTAGTAGACGAGACCGACGAGGGCAATGGAGTAACCGAAGAACTGGAGGCCAGTGACGGGGGTCTGCCAGATCATCATGGAAGCGACAACGAGGAGGATATCCTTGAGGACACCGCAAAGCGTCATCACAAGAGACGAGGTCTTGCCAATCTAGAGTGGGGTGTTAGTAGCTAGGCCATGTCGACAAGGACGATCGCGACTTACCAGGAAGACAACGGAAACGTTAAGGAGGAAAGCAACGACAGCATTGGCCAGCAATGTCCATACACCAACGTTGTAGATGTGGCCCATGGTCAGGTTGGGGACCTCGAGGAACAGAGCGGTGACACCGTTCATGACAGCACACACAGGAGCAAAGTAATAGAGAGACACGAGAGGGTCCATCTTGTACTCGGCAGAGCTGAGCAGGCGCTGGACCATGACCAAACGAGTAGCCTCGAAGATAATACCGCCGATCTGGAACAGGAAACCAATCATGACGAACTTGATCTCGCCGAAGGAGGCAATGACGACACCAACGACAATGATGCTCACGTTCATGAGCACCTTGTAGTTCACGGGAGCCATGCCCATACCCCAGGTAGCGAACAGGACAGCAACGGGTGTAGTAGCCTGAAGAATCCAATCAGCAATCCGATCGACCAAAAATAAAGTATATTCAAACGTACCTTGAGCATCTGGATGAAAGCAACACTCAGGTACAAGTATGTCACGTTACCGCAAATCAAGCTCAGACTGAAGAACAAGCCGATGGGAACGATAGCGCGGAGATACACGCGGCCAGTCATCTTGACCGTCTTGCGGCCGTCGAGCAGAGTGGTGGTGCGAGCGAGGAGTTGGGTCATGAAGGTCGCAAAGGCCAAGTGCCATGTCGTAAGGATGATAGGGAAACCTATGATGGCGCAAGTCCAGAAATTAGTCGGGGAAGTGCAGTGGGGAAGAACTCAAGGTAAACTCACGGAATTGGGCATAGTCCAGGATATGCTTGTTGAACAAGATGACACTGGAACTCAAGGCAATCCAGACGCTGATTGTTCATCAGTATCACTGCGCAGTAACAGCTTGGACTATTTGTTGAGCAACCTACCTGACATAGACGGCCGGGTGGAAGGCAGGCTTAGGAGGCTCCGACTTATCAACGGCAGGGTTGACAGTGGGCAGGGTAGGCTCCGGGCGAGAGACCTCACCGGAGGTTCTGACCTTTTCACCGTCGGAACTCATGGTGAAGATTGGAGTCTGGTCGGATAAGAAGCGTTGAAAGTCGAATGGGCGCGGCCGTAAAAGGCTGCTTTGTCCAAATTTCGCAGATGCCACGGGTGATAATTAAAACAAGGGAAAAAGAAAAAAGGCGAGCGAGGGCAGCAGGGAGAGGGTCTGCGGGTTAAGATGATTGTTTGTTAACGAGTGAGATTGGAGTTGGTCCGAATAGCGATAAGAAAGAAAAAAGAACTGAAAGGCAAGGGGAAAGACGATAGAGGTGTGAAACTCAATGTCTGAGGATGGAGGGAAGAAGAGAAGAAGAGCGTGGAGGAAGAGGGGAGGGGAGGGAGGCAGGGAAGGGGAGGGGGGTAGTGGAAGAGAGCGCGAGGAGAGAGAGTAGAGAGAAGGCTGATCAAACCGATCGAATGGATTGGGGTACGTATGTGTCTGGCTTGTCCGTCGAATAATAAGGATGATATGGGATGGGTGGTTCGGAACTGGTTCGGGATGGGGGAAGATTCAGGGAGAGAGGGGGGGGGGGGGGGGCACCTACGGCTTGTTTCTTGTTGGTTCGCTCCCCGGATAGGTGTGAAGCTGTGAACACGACACGGAGGATTGAATCTTAGGAGGGGCGAAAGGGTAAAGCAGAAGAGAAGAAGAATAGACGAGGAAGAAGATGAAGAGTAGAAGAAGAGCACTGAGACTGAGAGCAGAGAGGGCTGGCTGGGCTGGGGATTCCGCCTCCACTAAGTTGCTGTTCGGTGAAGTGAAGTCGGAGAGAGGGAATAATGGACTGGACAAGGGAAAGGGAAAGGGAAAGGGAAGGATGGGGCGGACACTGCAGTACCTTAGTCGGGGCTCCAGTTAGGAAGAAGTCAAGCTTCCCATCCAGTTCCATCCACCCACTCTCTTCCCTTCCCAAGTCTAGCGGCCGCCCTGCAGTCTCCGTTCCTCGTCGCTGCAAGCATCCTGCCGGAACTGCAATTGTTCCTGATTTACTACTACCATGCATTTACAATACATCTCTCTTGCTCTATCTATCTACAATGTTCCTATTAATGGATCCTATCAATCACATTGAAATGTTACCATCATCGTCATCCTAATTCTGGGTAGATAAAGAAGCACACAAACACAAACCTTGATCGAATCAGAGGCCTGGACAATATAATCAAGTTAATCAAATATTAAATTGAATAATGAACGACCCTGGCGGCTGGTGGTGGTCGGCCTTTTTTTTTTTTTTTTTTCTGATAGACTGGTACCCTAATGTAAGCCACCAGGATTTATTATTAGATCTCCAGTGCCAGGCTCTCAATCTATCACGGTCTATCACTCATTTCCCATGACCACCTCATTCACCTCGCTGGTTCTGACGGGCCATTTCGAGTTCTGGCCTGAGTTAAAGAAGAACAATTGAGGGGCCAAAAGAGAGAAAGTGGAGTGTGGATGGACTGGGTCCAACTCACCTCACTGGGAAAGAATCAATACCCGAGGAGGAAAGGTGGCTTGTACTAGATCATACCATTACTGTTTTCTACATCGTAACCGCTATATTTCCGTGTATGAACTCACTGTCTGATATGAAACAATACCTGTATTGAAGAGACACGTATTGTCTATATCTTTCTCCTCCGCAGTCTGGGGGTCTCGATCTTTGCGGGTGCATCCCCATCGATTCTGCATTTCTTCGACAGAACCATCTCTGGCACATCCAGGGTATTGGAGCCTTCGGCAAATGTTCCTCACCTTTCTACCATCAGTCTCAACCATGTCCAAGAGTACGAAAAATGAACGGGGGTCTCGATTGACTGTCCAACCCACCCAGGTGGGCAGGCGATCCATGAAACTGCTATGGGGCGAGGCGATTGTTCATCTCTCGTGGCGATAGCTGGCGGCGAGGACCACTGGTGGTTGGTGTCAATCTCCAGGCCCCACACTCCATCAGTAGCCCCTTTTCCATTCGCCTTCTCTTCAGGTCGGTCTGAGAAAGCGATTCGGATTCCAATATTCAGGACAGTCAGCCATGAGCCATCCAATACGAGATGGAGAAGTGGCTGTGGCAAAGTTTTTTCCTCCTTCTCCAGCGCGCTTACTTTCGATCTGACTTGCGTTGTGCCTTGGGTGAGGGTGAGATGGGCCACTGATGCTCGTCACGACGGCTACAGGGCAAAGACGTTGCCTTCCCTGAAACAATACAGGGTAAGTAGGGTTGTGTCAGATAGAGGCTGCAGGAGGATCCAATCGAAGCAAGAACGTCAACCGAGTGCTGATCAAAATTTATGGCTTCTGGTTTGGCACCGGCCGCATTACGCAAGCAGCCCACTAGCCAAGCACTATCTTACCCGCGTTCAGCGGCCACTTGTCCATAGCGCCGCCGCAATGGTCCCTTGCCGGTGGAGAATGCGACGATCGGATGGCTGAGGGCCTGACGACATCGTCATGGTTCAATGGCGTGGGTTGGAGACGGGAGCCACCAACGACTTTGGCTCCTCGCGCACGAGGGTCCTGTTGCGTACTGTACAGTACCACTCAGCATAGCAAATTCAGGACAGCAAATGCTGCAATTTTGACGACACCGACGGCCACTAGTATTGCTATACCTACGGGCTGTGAGACGTTCTCTCGGAAAGTCCGTTCATGTGCCGTTCCGCCCCAAAGCCGCGATCCTGTCGCGGCTCTTCTGGTGACAACAGGCGGAGAGAAGAGCGCCCCGGCGTACGTCAGACAGTCACCGAGATCAACGCCAAACAGGCGAGTTGTACCCGCGGGAGGGGCCAAAATGAAGCTTTTCCCTAGTGCATTGATCCCTGGGGCCCTGGGTGGATGAGAAGTCCGTTGGCCTCCCTGGGGTCCGCGACAGGTTCTCGAAAATTTGAGATGTGTATCCATTGTATAGGACATTGATAACCGTTAACCTCCAGTTTCTGGCAGACGATCCCCATGGTCCTTCCTTTCTCAGCAGGCTCCATCAGTGGACCCTGCCAGATTTGTCGGTCTCTGGTTCAGCTAACGTGTCGAGCCTGAAGGGACCAAATAGGGGACGATCGCACTGCCGATGCTCATCGATGACATCCGTGTTCCTCTCCCGGGTTTACCTAAAGTACTGTACTGGATGTCGTGGACTAGCCCTGAGTAGTGCTGGACCGTAGGTAGTACCCGACGGGCCCTCTTGTCACCCATACGTGGTTGTCCCATACATCAGGGGCTTATGGAGGGGATACAGATCACTACTCTTCGGGGTAGTTGTATGCTGATCGGATGCTCATCGTAGGTAAACAACCGTAATTTTGGTGACCTTCGTGGAGGTCTTTCAAGCAGGACAGATCAGAAAGGATGTGATGAAGGACCGATATTCGTCACATTCTTATACTCCGTACATATTACTCTATGTATACATGTATGTATGTGCTATGAGGGTCAACCTCGACAGGCACAGGCAATGATGTTGACATAAACGTGGTCTGTGATTTGTTCGGGAAGCGCATCACTCTTGAGTGGGGGGATGCTTAGATGGTCTAATAAGATAATATAGACTAAATGATCAAGTCGAAGTCACCTTATCCTGAAGCCCAAATGCGTACATCGTAGTCACTGGGTAGTTATATTATCACGTTCCATCTCGGGATTGAAGATTACCGGATCGATTTCTTTAGTAGATTGGCCCATTTGCATGGTAGGAATTAATATCGCTAGATGAAGTCGGGGCCTGCCGAGACAATGCTTGCAAAGGGCGAGGGCGGGAAGCTTGGACTATGGATATGTTAGACCCGGGCACGGAGTACTCCTCCAACCCTTTACTAGTACTGAGTACTCCGTACGTAGCCTTAAATGAGATGAGGCAGAGACCGTCCAGAACTGTCTCCGTATAATAAATCCAGTTCCACAGCGCGGGCTTAAATTACTGATAAGAATTGCAGAAAGACAGGCCAATTGCAAGATTGACTTCTAATTGCATGTCTTACATGGACTCGCATTTTCTGCCCCCCAGCTTGCGACGACTGGGTGGGAGAGTGATAGTACTCTACCTGAGTGCACATAGTAATCCATAGTAATATCAACATGTGTTTGGCGACGAACCGTAGGACGGAGCAGGCACACTAACCTCAAACCAGAACAAGTGAGCGGAGCTTCCCCCTTTTTTTCGATCTTCCTTCGTCTTTTGCCCCTTTCTCAAGTTTGACGGAAATGGGTCCAGCCCGTTCGTTCCATTTGCCATTGATGTCCCATTCGTTCCAATCTCTCTCATTATTTAGGGCCTAAACTTGAAACAGATCCTTCCCGGCAGGTAGCCTGAGCCTTGAGGCCTCTTTCCTGTTCCTTCTTGTTCCCCACCCAAACCCACACCCACCGCTCACTTTGTCACGTTTCGTGTTCCCCGACCGGCGGCGTTGCGTTTCGATAACAGCTACCTATACCTTCCCCTCCCCGCCTCGCTCTCCCTCACCGTCTTCTTCTTCTTCTCCCCTTCCCTTCTCTTTTCAACCCTCCCCCCCCCTCCCTTCAGCATTCTCTCCCTTCTCTCTTAAATTCAAACTGCAGTCCTTTTCCTGCAGCTTGACGATTCCTCTTCTATGCTGAGCCTCGCCCGCAAGACTCTGAACCGCGTCCCCAGCTTCCAGGATATTCTACAAGGCAGGATGACCCACCCAGACATGTAAGGAGTCCTCCATCAGCTTTTTCCCCTCTATCGTCCCTCTATCGTTTCGCGCGAATGGATTCCTGAAGCGATATACTGACGTGGTTCTCAATAATCTACAGCTCCGTTGACGTTCTCGTCATTGGTGCCGGTCCTACCGGTCTCGGTGCCGCCAAGCGTCTTAACCAGATCGTACGAACTTCCGCATTCCACCACCAAGCAACGGAATTGTCAATGCTGACGCGACCTACAGGACGGCCCCTCTTGGTTGATCGTTGACAGCAACGAGATCCCTGGTGGTCTTGCTTCTACCGATGTGACCCCCGAAGGCTTCGTATGTACCCCGCTAGAAACCTCACATACACCCTCTCGTGCAACGTCCTCAACTGACTACGACGGCAGCTCTTCGATGTCGGTGGCCACGTTATCTTCTCGCACTACAAGTATTTTGATGACTGCATCAACGAGGCTCTTCCCAAGGACGACGACTGGTACACCCACCAGCGTATCTCCTACGTCCGTTGCAAGGAGCAATGGGTTCCCTACCCTTTCCAGAACAACATTTCCATGCTGCCCAAGGAGGAGCAGGTGAAGTGTATCGATGGTCTGATTGACGCTGCTCTCGAGGCTCGTGTGGCCAACACCAAGCCCGCCAACTTCGATGAGTGGATCGTCCGCCAGATGGGTGTCGGTATTGCCGACCTTTTCATGAGACCTTACAACTACAAGGTCTGGGCTGTGCCCACCACAAAGGTGAGTCGACGCATTTGGTCGCGCCAGTGGACTCGATTGCTGACAATCGAGAAAAGATGCAATGCGCTTGGTTGGGTGAGCGTGTCGCTGCTCCCAATGTCAAGGCTGTGACGACCAATGTCATCCTCAACAAGACCGCTGGTAACTGGGGTCCCAACGCTACTTTCCGTTTCCCCGCTCGTGATGGTACCGGTGGTATCTGGATTGCCGTCGCCAACACTCTCCCCAAGGAGAAGACTCGCTTCGGTGAGAAGGGCAAGGTTGTTAAGGTCAATGCCAACAACAAGACTGTCACCCTCGGCGATGGCACCACCGTTGGCTACAACAAGCTCGTTTCGACCATGGCTGTCGACTACCTTGCTGAGCAGATCGGCGACCAGGAGTTGATCGGCCTTACCAAGGAGCTCTTCTACTCCTCCACTCACGTCATTGGTGTCGGTATCCGTGGTGAACGCCCTGAGAGAATCGGTGACAAGTGCTGGGTAAGAGATTCCCATCCGCCAAAATAAAAAGTACCAGAGGAATTCGTGCTAACAAGGATTCCCGCAGCTCTACTTCCCCGAGGACAACTGCCCCTTCTACCGTGCCACTATCTTCTCCAACTACTCCCCTTACAACCAGCCCGAGTCCTCCAAGAAGCTGGCTACCCAGCAGCTTGCCGATGGCTCCAAGCCCAAGAACACCGAGCCCCAGGATGGTCCCTACTGGTCCATCATGTTGGAGGTTTCCGAGTCCTCGATGAAGGCCGTGAACCACGAGACCCTTTTGGCCGACTGTATCCAGGGTCTTGTCAACACTGAGATGCTCAAGCCCACCGATGAGATCGTCTCCACCTACCACCGCCGCTTCGACCACGGCTACCCCACTCCCAGTCTGGAGCGTGAGGGTGCTCTTACCCAGATCCTGCCCAAGCTCCAGGCCAAGGACATCTGGACCCGTGGTCGCTTCGGTAGCTGGCGCTACGAGGTCGGCAACCAGGACCACTCCTTCATGCTGGGTGTGGAGGCTGTTGACAACATCGTCAACGGTGCTGTTGAGTTGACCCTTAACTACCCCGACTTTGTCAACGGTAGACAGAACACTGAGCGCCGCCTGGTTGATGGTGCTCAGGTGTTCGCCAAGAAGCACTAAATGTGCGCGGAGTGATTATAGACGACACATATTTTAATATCTTGAAATGACCGGGGGATCTAAAATGATACACAGGGAGTCTGATTTCTTTTTTCCACCCATAAACCAGCTGTTTTGTTCCCATTTCATATTCCCCTTTTCTTTACCTTTTTTTTGTCTGCTTGAGAGCGATGTACGGGAGATATCTGTGCTGGCATCTTTCTTGTTCTGGGTGGTGGTGAATCAACCAGCTTTTCTCTTCTCTACATTTTCTGCTAGAATATCCCCAGATTTATAAATGAGCAAGAATCCTTAGACTCTCTTATGTTCCCGAAATGAGGTGCGCGATGCGACAGGTGCTTGTGATCTCGCCCCTCTATCTTTGGATGCATGTCATTGCCACCTCCGGCCGGGCTTGATCGGCCTTGATTGCAGGACCGATATGAAACATGATTCGGGCGGACATTATCATGTCATTCGCGTGTCTCACGTCTCATGTGAGACGTCTTTTGCTATTCGCAGCTCAACTGCCGTGCAGATGTAGGTGTTTCGCATCCGACTTGCCCGATCCAGCCATCTGGTGTGATCGGAGGGCTCCTGAGTGCGACGGTGGTCACCGCAACCTAAATCCCCGACCGTGACTTTTGGGGGATGTATCGATCTATCTATATCCAGGTCGTCGACCCATATGAGTAGTACTCATACAAGTAGCCCGTTGCAGAGACCCAGGCCACCGATGGATCGTGGCTCGACCCCCCAGTCGAGCGAGGCCTGTCCCCGTCCCTGCCACAACCCAAAACCCCCAAGCGTTTCACCGAGCACCTAGCCTCGCTATCTGTAAGGCTGACTGACGCCAGACCGCGCAGCTCTAGTCCGGGCTTTAGCTCAGCTCAGCTCCAGCTCCAGCTCCAGCTCCGTTCAACCCTTCTGGTCGCTTGCGCGCGATCATGCCATGCGTCATGTGTGCTGTGCTTTGCTGCCACTTGGCTTGGTTTGGTCTGGGGGTTTAGGCTGTGGCTTATTCCTCGACGCCGAATTCCACTCTACCGGTATCCTCACTGCTTAGATCTGAGTGGTAGGTACGTAGCCTCAGGTATTCAGGCACATATCCACTAAACCAATAACACGAATCTTGAAAACTCCAAACTGTGACCCGACCAAACCATCCCAATCCCAAACAGCCTTAGCCCGGCTCCACTGCCCTATTTACTCATTAAATCAGGAACCCGAAGGTTCCAGGCTCCAGCTCGGGCAGCCCACCCGGGACGCGTAAGTGCTTTGCCATCAAGACAAAACCTAGACTAGACTACCTACTCTGTAGGTGCATAGGAGGAGCAGCGCCAGGTGTTGACGACACCACAGCCTGCGATGGCGAAAGATTGGGGCCAGTGTCTACATTTGAACAAAGAAACCATTATCACTGATCATCCAGAGGATGCTGTCGTGGGCTGATAACGTAACGTTGACTTGGAACCACCGTCCGTTCCCGAGTCTTGGCCTCGCACCAAAGATAGGAATGGGGCAATCCCTGGGCTGGGCTGGCCTGCTGGGCTGGCCTGCTGGGCTGGCCTGCTGGGCAGTGGGCACAACTGTGCATCTCCTAAGGCAGTGCACCAAATCGAATCTCGCATGACATACTGTTACATCTCCTGTTTGCTACTTTGCACTTTGCATCAACAATGCCATTGCCAGGACCTGCACTAGTTGAGTGTTCGCACATTATCCCAACCGCCGCCTTCCCTGCTTTGTATGCTGCACTGTACCATACCCTCTGAATTCATTGCATGACAGTAGCTGCACCTTCCAGCTGACGTGCCTCTCCACCCACTGTTCCATACTCGACAGACACAGGAGCACATCCGACTGGTCAGCCACGAGTTTGTTGAGAGACACGGCTCCGCTCTTTCGAGGGGCATGTACTCGTACTCATAACTCTCACTCCACCAGATCTCTGAACTCCTCTGACTCTGTGCTCGCGAGCATGTCGAGTATCGCCATATTGACGTACTCTGCAAAATTTGCCGCCTCCACATCAATCGAGTAGCGGATCGCTTCCTGATGCTGTCCAATGGAAAATCCATCAGAGATCTTCTCAGCGAACGCCTGCGTGCGAGTATACGTACCTCTTCCTCCTCCTCTCGAGCGTGGGCTTGTGTGGCAAGCATTCGCGTACTCAACGGCTGCATCCGGGTATTTGACCTCCCATTGCCAGAAAGGGTCAATGATTGAGCAAGTGCTGTGAGCGTCGCGAATTCAGACCTTGATGGCTGATTTTCCTGACGGAACTGGTGGAAACAGAGAGATCAGCCCTGCGGCTGTACATACTCCTTGGCTTCCCCATGGATAGACCTGTACTTACCTCATGTTTGCCGGCAATGGTTCTGGGTGGATCCCCATAGCCCTGGCAGGAATCGGTTCCAGGATTTTGGTCAGGCACTCGGATCGATGGGCCTACGTCTGTCTGGGCACCGGGTGACAGCTTGCCAATAACAGCAAGGTTGACTCCCTTTAGTTTCACCAGCTTGGTCGGACGCTGGGTGTTCTTAGGGCCGCCATTGTCAACTGGGCGACCGTGCAAGTGTGCTTCTGTCGGTCTCGAACGAGAATGAGAATCATGCTGCGGTTCAGTGAGGGAAGCTGCCTTATCACCTAGAAGTGTGGAACTGTGGGCTCCCACCGCGCAACTGTCACGGCTTGGCACAGCATCATCCAAGAGGTTACTGGCCCGCTGGCCGCGTGTTGATTTTTTTGAGGATTGCAACTTGGTCTTGACACCATCAACCATTGCGTCTGTGATCGATGCACTTGCAAATTCCTCTTTGTCTGTTGAGCAAGGTGAGATAGGCTTTGTACTTCGTCCCGGTTGATTTGTTCCCAAGGAACGCGTGTGAAACTTGATATCAGATTTTGTGCCGCGTTCTTCGTCTGCTGCACCCAGGTTTGTATGGGTCCGACTCAGGTCCACTACATCTCAGCAGCACATCAGCCTCATTCTCTAAACAGGCCACAAATAGTGGTCCGCTTATACATACCTGACTGCTGCGTTGGCTGTCTCCCAAGCAATAGGTTGGTGAGAAGATCGGCGAGAAGCACAGCACAAGAATCCAGCGGTGCTAGAGGAGGAACAGTAGAAAATGAGCCCGATCGATGGTGAAGAGAAAAAGAAACAGATAAGACAGGATTCTGAGAGCAAGGCCTGGGAGAATGTGTTTCACCTGTGACATCACCCCTGACACTGTTTAACACAGCTCGGGGTTGTGTTAAACAATCAGACAAAGAAGTCTCTGAAAGGTCATAATAGCCCGGGGAATGCCCGAATTTCTCTCCATTTCGACCCCCGAAGGGCTTGTTATGACCATCCATTGAAAGCTGACATTCACTCTGCACATCTACATTTTTCTCAGCGGACCTTGTCGCCTCTAATGACAAAGCAGATGGCTGCACAATGATCGGCGAGCCTGCGTCTATTGTCGACGACGAAGAGGAAGTGGATGCCTCTGGTGAGCACGCAGACCTGGTGTTATGGTCTCCTCCTCTGCCACGCGGCGACGAGCCCTCTCCGGGGTCCTCGTCTGGAGCCGAATAACAAATGGAATCCGGCGGAGAGACGGACGGTGCAGAGAAGAGGTCAGAGTCGGACTCCAAAAAGGCATCATCCTCGCCATCATCAAAGCTGCTGTCATTCAGAAATTGATCGTGCTGGTGCCATTCCGCCAGCCGACTATGGCGGATGAGAAGCCGCTGGAGATGATAGCGCAGGTCTCCGTCTCCGAGGCTTATTCGGGTGGGCTTATACCGGATCATGGTTCTACCTGGGAGAATTCCGATTATCTGGTGTAATCCTTGCCTCGTTTTTTCTTCGGGGGTGCTCGGATTCAACTTCCGATGTGAGATTGGCCCGGGGGGGGGAGGAGGTTTGTGCTACATAGTAATCCCTTTTACTCGGGTGAGATTATATTATCGATGGTACTATCATCCAGTCTACGGAAGGTACTGAGCGAGAACTATATCATGAAGTCAAGGAAGGAGCGATGATATGGTGAGTTGGTGGTTGCTGCCTCAGATGGTCAGTCATGGTTGTGGCTGAGTGGGTGTAGTTCAGATTAGATGTCTTGATTCTTGGATAAATAGGCACCAGTCCGACGATCCGGCAATGAATCGAGCAAAATAGGAATGAAATCTATTTTTAAACTCCAACTCATGAACAGTACGAGCCCTGCAACAGAAAAGGTGGTCGCATTGACTTGTGGACTGTGAAGAACCTGGAACTTATCCATCAGTAGCTGTCACGGCAGACTGGGGGGGAAATTACTGCGTTACCTTGACAGTATTTATATATAGACCAGAGAATGATCTATGATGGGTATTCGGGCAAAGCCACGAGTCATCTATCATTCTCATAGCCTGTTGGAAAGGGGTTATCAAAGAGGATCAAATAGGTTCGCATCTAGCATCTCAGCATCAAGCGCGAGGGATTGGCTTGGAATTTGACAATGGTGGACTTTTCTGCCTAATTAAAGATGGACTGACTGGCACTTCTTCCGATATCATTATGATAGACTGAATGAGAATCTAACCCCAAGGAACAAGAATCATGTTATTAAATGAGGAGAGTAAGAATCCTAGTTGTTGAGCAGGCGACCAAATCTATAATTGAAGAGAATTCGTAGTCGAGTGACAGAGTTAATTAAGCTACAGTGAGGTGGTGTTGATGATAAGTAAGTAGGATATGGACCGTATATTCCTGAGGCTACCATCATCACTGTTGCTGTCAGCCTCACCCATCATCGATCAACCTCCATCTTCCCATCTTCCCATCTTTCTCTTCCTCTTCCTCTTCCTCGTCCCTCTCAACCTTCAACAACCTCCTCTCCCTCCCTCCCTCCCTCCCTCTCTCTCTCTTCTCCCCTACACCCTCACAAGATCCATCACTATCCGAACCTCTTCTCTCGTTCTTCTATCCATTCCCCTTCTCTGGCGCAGATCTCTCGCTTGTTGTGCCTCGATGCCTCCCCATCCGCATCTTCTCCGACCGCCGCCATAGTTCACTCACCATCCCCTTCCCTCGGCCGCTTCCCCCCCTCCCTCTCGCTATCTCCCTCTTGCTCATCTTCCACTCTTTTTATTATTTTTCTGGACCTTCTCCTGCTTCCCTTCCTCTCCTCTAGCCTCCCCCCCTCTTCTTGTTTTATCCACTTCATTCTCTGTTTCATTTTGTTGGCGGTGGGTGCCACGGTGGTGCCTGACCAAGGACATAGTGACTGTTCCCCCTCTTCTCCGTCTCCCATCTCCATCTTCGCTTTCCCCCCTCTTCTTCCTCTCCAAACTTCACCTTCCCCAATTCCCTTCTTCCCGCCCGCAACCCCCTTTCATTCCGCAACACCTCCCCCCCCCCAATTTCTTTTTTCCCCTCCCCCTCCAATCCTCCTCTCCCTTTTCTCTACAATAGGTTGGTTTGAGAATCAAACCACCTCTTTATCACCATGGATGGGGATCTCAGTCTCTCCCAGTCGTTGGGAGGACTACGCATTGCCAACCCTGATGATGCGTCGTTACATTCGTCTGAAGATGCATCAACACCTGCCGCCGGCGCTGCTTCAATAGCAGACTCCGATCTGGTACGCGATCCCGCAACCTCCGAACGTCCAGAAAGTGCCTCCTCTACCTCTCTTCCCCGACCGTCAGCACCTCCTTCCAGCTCCGAAGTCCAAGAAGCCCTCCCCGCGGTACAAGTCGAGCCCTCAACGAGGACCTTTGAGAGTCGGAGCTCGATATACAGCCCATACTCAGACCCTGCACAGCCGCAAACCTCGCAACCTTCACAAGCGACGCCTCAATACTCCCCCTATATACCTCAACAGCAACCCAACCCCGGTCCGCAGTCCTCCTCTCGTCCGCTCTCATCATTCTACGCGAACGGGTCCACCTCCACATTGGCAGCTCGAGAAGGCTCATATCGAATTCGGACCGATTCCGCCGCGTCTTCCGCCTCTGAAAGTCTGGCCCGGGCAGAGTCTCGCGGAGGCTCCGCAGCCTACCAAGCGGGTGTCCCCATACGCGATAACAATCACAACGATCGGTCGTACCGCACGGCACAACTACCTCCCGGAAATGGACCAATGGTGATGCGTCAGCCCTCTCGCGCCCATAGGGGTCCGTCGACTGGTTCCCCGTATGCCATGGAGAATGGCCCTAGCTCGAGCAGTGAAGATTGGCAAGATCGGGGTGCGGCTGTTGCTGTACGGCAGGAAATCGACGCCAACGGTAAACCGGTCGCGCGTTATATAAAAAAGGGGGTCCGCGATTTCTCGTTCGCCCATACGCTCGGGGAAGGCTCGTACAGTACCGTCGTATTGGGCACGGACCGCCAGACACTCAAGGAATACGCGATTAAGATTTTGGACAAGCGACACATCATCAAGGAGAAGAAGGTCAAGTATGTCAACATCGAGAAGGACACTCTCAACCGACTCACCGAACACCCGGGTATTGTTCGCTTGTATTACACATTTCAGGACGAACGGTCCTTATACTTTGTCTTGGATCTCTGCAAGGGAGGCGAGTTGCTCGGGGTATTGAAGCGCATGACCACTTTCGACGAAGAGTGTACGAGGTTCTATGGCGCCCAGATACTAGACACGATCGACTATATGCACAAACGTGGCGTCATTCACCGAGATCTAAAACCGGAGAATGTTTTACTGGACGGCCAGATGCACATCAAAATCACCGACTTCGGAACGGCCAAGATCCTCAAAAGTCAACGGAAACCGGGCTCAAACTCCAGCGGAATGCCTCCGCTCGATGCGACCGAAATTCCCGAGGATGAACGCGCGAGCTCTTTCGTTGGCACAGCCGAGTATGTCAGCCCGGAGCTCTTGACAGACAAGAATGCATGCAAGGCAAGTGATCTGTGGGCTTTTGGCTGTATCATCTTCCAACTTCTCGCTGGGCGGCCTCCTTTCAAGGCTGGAAACGAGTACCAAACCTTCCAAAAGATCGTCGCGCTCGATTACGAGTTCCCTCCGGGATTCCCTGCGATCGCCCGCGATTTGGTCGAACGCCTGCTGGTACTGGACCCGGCACGTCGTTTGCCGATTGAGCACATCAAGAACCACGAATTCTTCCAGGGCATCACCTGGGGCCCGGATCTATGGAAGCGGAAGGCGCCTCGTCTCAAGGCATACGTTCCGCCCCCACGCGAGCCCATTAAGCTCAACAACGGCGGCAACGGTGAGAGCTATCCCGCAAGCATCAATGCAGCCTCCGTAAACAACAACGCTAGTCAACGGGTTGTTCCTCGACTAGTGACCGAACTCCCGCCGCCGAGTCAGCTGGACATCGAATGGTCGCCCGTACTGACGAAGACTAATGAACGGATCCTCAAACTCGGCAACCTGGTCGTTTTGTCTTCTCCCGCTGCCCACAGTCCAGTCTCAAAGAATGGCGGTGAATACGAAGCCCCTCGGAAATTCTCGAGATTCTTCGGTGGCAGCACGACGAAGAAGCGTCAGCGCCTAGTCATGGTGACCTCCTCTGGCCGGATCATCATGGCAGCATCTGGCGGCGATGAGAAGAAAGCGAAGTTGGAACTGTCTCTTCTTACTCCGGGCACGACATATCGAACCTCAACAGACGCTAAGGGGACCTCTTGTTGGGTAGTGGATACGGTAAGTGCAGTCTCTCAGTGAAGATGGATTTGATTTCTAACCCAAGCGTCTAGCGTGACAAACACTATGTCTTTGAGGATCCCAAGCCGTCATCTGGTAGCGTAGGAACGACCGCCATGTCCACTCAGGAGTGGTTGGATACCCTGGACCGAGCCAAGGAAATGGCTCTGTCACAACAGGGGAATGGTTCATATTCAGATGACGCCTTCCGCGACCTGTCGTCCGGCTTGTCTAGCCATGCTAATACGTTGGATCGGAGCTCAGAACTCCAGCAAGAAAGCGCACCCACGGGCCGTGCCACTTTGGTCAAACAACCGCCAACCGATACAGACTCGGTTAAAGGGAAAAAGCGATTCAGCCGACGCCATTCCAAGAACGGCCTTGCGGCGGTCTTTTAGGCCCTTCTCACTTACCCTTCTATTACTCAAACTTCAATCCCCCAATCTCTTCTCCATCACTTTCTCGCCATTCCCTGAAAAGTTGGGATGCTGTCCAATGCGCAGGATCGCACACCTCACTCTCCTCTTGTCTTTGGAACATAACTCGTGCGTGTGTTTTGCTTGATATCCCTGAGTGTTTCCCGCAGCTGCGATTGGCAATTCTGTTTCTCTTTGCTACCACTTAGCAGGTCTTGCTTTGGGCTGTTGTTTATCGCGGGAGACCCAGTCATACACTCTAGCCAGCGACTCGTCGATTTTTCCTTTGTTTGCATCTTGTGTAAGAACTGTAATGTGGGTCTCATTTGTGTGTGCCTTTTTGCCCTGCATCTTTGCAATGATGAGCGTTGTTTTCTTTTTCTTTCTCCGGTTGAGATTGTTGCATTTAGATGGGAAGGAGTATGCATATATATCCCTCATCTGGCCCGTTGACCACTTTCGATCGCATCAATCTATTTTGCGCGATACTTGCCTTTATTTCATTCTGATATATATCCTTTGGACCTGGTGAGATCCAGGATCTTGAGATCAATAGATCTTGATTGTTCGTGGGAGAGAAGAGAGAGAGAGTGTGTGCGCCATGAGTGCATCTTCTCGCTGGGAGTTATCAAATCAAATCTCTAATCTTTTTTTTCTTTCTTTTTTTCTCTCAAGGGTGTTGTTGGTCAGCGACAGGATCCGGTGTTGGCTCGGAGCTTACTTAGGCTTTTCTTTTCTGGTTTCCCTTTCGCCCGCCCCCTTTACTCTCATCACCCATCTTCCCCGGGTTATCTATCTACCCCCCTCTCCAGGTTCAAGATAGGGACCTCGATAATAGTACCTTCAAATGCAAATACATTTCATACCTCTGATCATAATCTGTGCACCCGAGACGCCGCTGTCGTATGTAGAAGGCTTATTTGTGTCATGATATATGCACCCCGTTCTGCTCCTGTCCTAACTAGAGAGATAGTTATGTACAGCTGGTGAAGAGAATGTGATTGATGTCCAGCGGTGGATAGAGCGGTATATCCTCGCTTCATACTCAAGCCGGTTGGCGTTCCCTTTCTTGCCCCGAAACCCCACCGGCCCGATATACGCGAGATCGTGAAGTGGTCTGAGGTCGCGAAACCGCTCATCCCACGAGCACGAGCACGAGCTTAAATAAAAAGCCAGTCAATCCGGGACGCATCCAGCTCCTGGATCCAATCGAAATCGTCATCATCGTCATCGTCATCGTCGTCGTCATCGTCATCACCATCATCTTCGTCATTATAAACATTATCGTGGTCATTAGGACCGGTATTAGGATTAGTCGTGAAAGGAATAGTCGGATCCGGCGCCGAAGCCCAGGAATCAGGCGACGGGATCGTTGAGGCTGGGAGGGTGTCTTCCTGCTGGTGGTGGTGCTGGCGCCGCTGGCGCCGCTCCTCGACCCTCTGATCGCGCTTGCGCCACATCAGACTCAGCACCCAGGCGGCGTTGCGCACGTTGACGCTGGTGATGTCGTAGTAGAGGGCGCGGAGCTTGTCGAGCAGGAACGGGCGGAGGGCGGGGTCGGCGCACTCGGCGCCGGCGATGAAGGTGGGCCAGATCAGGCACTTGAAGTGCGGGTCGGCGACGGGGATGAGGGCGATCTGGCGGATGAGGAGGTCGGTGACAGCCCCGTGGTCGGCGGGGAGGCCGAAGTGGCGGCGCGAGCTTGTGGGATTCGCCGGCAGGCGTGGGCGGGAGAGGGCGCGGCTGGCGTAGAGGTAGACGGCGGCTTGGTAGATGGTGGCGAGGGCGGTGCGCATGGAGAGGTCCGGCAGGTGGAGGAAGCTCTGCATGGATTCCGCCCAGGCGGCGGGGTCGAAGGCTTGGATGTGGGCGAGAAGGGCGGCGGGGGATTGGAGCGGGTTGGCGTGGGCGGAGAGGTGGGGGGAGGTGAAGACCATTTTGGGGAGGTGGGGCGGGGAGGAGGTTTGGTTGTTGTTGTTGTTGTCGTCAGGTCCCTGGGAGTCATCATGTTCCATGTAGAGGCCCGCGTGGATGAGGAAGATCACTTCGAGGAGGTAGCCGGGGCAGCCGACCCAGGATGTCTCCTCGAGTCGCTTGAGGACCGCTGGGCCCATGTTTGAGGTGTAGAAGGGTCGCGTGAGGGAGCCGGGGCGGGCCAGCGTAGAGCCCATCAGTTGGATACTGGACAGGGTTAGATGAGGGCAGAGAACAGAAGAGCGAACATTCAGGCTTGACATACATGAGGATGCCATCTATCGCGAAGTCATCTAACCAGGAGAAGAGCCCCTGGGTTGCTGGGCCATGTGGGTGGTTCCCTTCTTGGCGGCCTTTCAGGAGTTTCTTGGCCCCTTCCAGATGGTACTTCCAGGCTCCGTCGCCGGATTCAATCGCATCCATTAGTGCAAGTAACATGATGGCGGCCAGCGTTCGGTTGTCGTGGCGCATGACGGGATCCTGGATGTCTTGCGACAATCGCTGCAATGCACGCTGTTTGAATCCGAGGAAATGCTCGTATACTTTCGAGGCCGGTCGGCGCGACAGGGATCCGATCACAGCCTTCTCTACGTCCTCCGACGAGAGCGATGTTCCTGCGGCTGCGTTTTCCACGCTCCAGGGCCCCGGAGAGAAATCTTCATCGGCTAGAATGGCGTAGTGTAAAGCCCCCAAGGCTGAAAGCACGTGGGCGAGTAGGGAGGAGTCGCCAACTAAGGGAGTCAAATCGCGGAACGGATTTTTGCCATTTGAATAGAGTGTAAGATAATTGGCAAGATACTGGTTGACTTTGACATCGGGGTCAGTATGAACCTGAGACCCACGGAGTGTTCATCACGTACAATGAATGATGTATTGCCTGGAACAATTGTCCAAATCCTTGAATAATGGATCCACCAGACCCCAGGGTGTAGGGACAGAGTCAAGAAGCTGAGGAGTGCGCTGTATGACGAGGCTCTGATCGTAAGCCCCAACGTCGGTCATTGCCAGGTCGTTGGATTCGTGCGACGACTCAAAACGATCGGTGTCGTGCGGGAGTGCAGGGCCGATGGTGTCGGGGGACGCTGTCGAAGTTGGTGAAGAGGAGCTGAAGTCATTGTCCTGTCTTGCACTCGCAGCACTCTTCACCACATCGTCGTAGCTGCGACCCATCATTTTACCCCGACTGGCGACGCCGCCCTTTACCCAGACGAGGGGTTTCTGATAGCCCAGACATTCCTTCCCCGCATCGCGACACTTGCGACAGGTGGGCAACCCATTGTCGCACACAATCCGGCGACGACGGCAAGTATAGCAGCCTTTGGTCATTGCTCCCCTTCAAACGTGTTCATGTAAGGCTGAGCGCAATCGACGTTGGTCACTGATTTGGCGTAGCGGGGTGGGACAGGTCCGCGGTGGAAGAACGGAGTACTCGGAACGGGAATCTGGAAACAACGCTCGACATCATTGATAATCGATCTCGAGGGTGGAACCTGGGGTCGGAAGCATTGCCTGTGAGTAAGTGAGACACCCGATGGTATGATTCGTATGATTCGTAAGATTCATCCTAAGTGATAGGGAGTTGGATTTCGGAGGAAGAGCGGGCGAGACTCGAGAAGCCCGGAGAAGGTGCCATCCATGCCTTGATTGGTGGAGCGCGTCTGACTCAATGGACCCGAGACGGAAACACGGCTAGCCGGATCAGGCTAGACTGCAGCGGGCATCCAGCGGCAGAGGCTCTGTCAAACAAGCCAAACAACTTAAACACGATGGACCCAAACAAACATTGAACATCGCATTGTGGTCGAAATGCCCAAGTAGAAACAGGATGGGATGAGAACGTCCAGGATAGCGAAGCCAGGAGACTTACCTAGTAAGGCTGAAGGGCTGAATCTTAGAAGAAGAAGGATCACAACATTCCAGCAAAGATGGCTGAGCGACACTGTACCATACCTAGTAGAACAATACTCCGTAGCGATGCAGCCACCCACCCGTGATCCCCCCAACCAACCACACCCATTTCCCTGCCTCCCGCACTTTCAACTTGAATCCTTCGCTTTGGCTTCACTTTCACCTTCAGGGGGAGCTGCCAATTTGGCCTGGGATTATGAGCCTTGGCAACTGGTAGCCATAAGGACTTTGTCTATCTGTCTGTTGACTTGCAATGTACCTGTCCCCGTCAGGCCAATCCTTTGTTCTTTGCCGGTTCAGATCTACCTGTATTCATTGCACCCTCACCTGCAGCAGCGGCTACACCGTGCGCGCTTTGGCTGCCTGCCCCTGTCGCATGAAGTGGACTGGCTTTGAGTGTCGGTCAGAGTGAATCACTTTCTTTTCAATAGTTCGTTGCTTTTCGTCATCTCCATCGCACCATCCACTCAGCCTTTATCTCCTAGAAATTATATCCCCGAGGTGGTCCGTGTGGTTATCGCGATCGCGGGGGATCAACAACGGAGAACCCGCCCGCCACTCGCAGACCTTCGCAGCCACATCCCTTTTGGCCGGTCAAGTCGGTGATTGTCGCGCGTCGCTCAGCATTCCTCTCGATCCCCGGAAAGCCTCCCTAGTGGGTGCGCGTGTTGTCGGCCCTTGAATGATACAGCCGCCGCTTGAGAGTTGGGATCTGTTCGGTCACTGCGCGGCTCGCTCAGACGATGTTTACCAGGCCCTCCAAAGCCACCTCCACGGTTACCACCATCGACATGGTCTCTCAGGCTCAAGTTCTCGATCGCTCCTTACCGGCGCAAAGCACCCTCTCCTCCACGTCCCGCCATTCGCATTCCAGCCGGCGACATCGCTCGAGTCGGTCTCACCACGGCGGTCTGACCCATCAACCCCAGAACGAATTCCCTATCTTCACTCATACCGGCGATGTGGAGATCGTGATCCGCGCGGGGGCACAGGAGCAACGTTACCTTCTTCACCGGCTGATACTGACGCAGTGCTCTGGGTTCTTCGAAGCAAGCACTCGGGATGGCTGGTCACCGCAAGCCCCCCCTCGGCCATCCAATCCAGACCCGGGGGTCCTGTCCAGAATCAGCGAGGACACCTCTTCGCTGTCCAACGGCTCAACCCTGGCGCAATCGGAGAGCGGGGGGTCGTCCTGGTCTCCGGAGAAACGGCGCTGGAAATATGAGCTCGACTGGGAAAACAAGGCTGAGGATGAGGAGCCGATCCTCGTACAAAAGGTGTGTATGCCGCATTTTCACCTTGCAGCTGACCTCTTCTAATCTGCTTTCAAGCCGCCGAGCTACTCCAGCGCCTTTGGCTGCGAGCCCGGGCAATATCCTCCGTCGGTGACGAAACCATCCAACACGCAGACAGGATTCGTCCGATCGATGGCCAACCTGGCCGGGATGCAGTCGGCCGTGATTCTACCGCACCGGAACAGCTCTTCCAACCCGCCCGTGGATCCCATCATCCGTGACTACGACAACCTGTTCCGGATGTTCTACAACTACCCGCCGACGATCAACAGCGTCAACATCGCGACCGCCTACTCCGAGTGCCGCGCGCTGCTCTCCCTGGCGGACATGTACGATGCGCTCCCGGTCACCGGACCACGGGTGGACCATCATCTGCTGGGCTTCGGATCGCGGCTCTTCAAGCAGATCGCCAAGTACCCTCCCAGCTACCTCAAGCTGGGCTACATGGCGCGGAGTCGCGTCATCTTCTCCGAGGCACTGATCCACGTCGTCGGACAGTGGCCGGCTGCTGTGCCGCACCTGCGCAATGGCAGCTACTCGCCGCTCCCGAATGCGGTCCTGGACATCATCGAGGACAAGGTCGAAGACCTTGAAGACCTGAAGGCGCGCGTTGACTCCAAGCTGCTCCGACTCACCCTGACCACCTCGCGCGGTGAGCGCGTCAGCCCTACCAACGCCTACCTCGACTGGCTGGCCGTGTCTTTATTCCGACAGTGGTTCGTCGACAGCACCACTCCGCCCCCGCCGCCCATCCTCAAAAACACCTCAACGAACCCGAGCAGCCATCACCACGGTCACAGCCACAGTCACGGCCATGGTAACCACCACCGATCCACCGCCAACCTCCCCTCGTCATCCGCATCCACCGTCCCGCCGTACTCCTCCGCGCGCGTCTACCGCCTCATCGGCTCGCCCTCCACCCAAGCCTACCTCCCGCACGACGACCTCAAACGCTTCCTCAAAGTCCATCCCACCCCCTCCGCCGAGGCGCTGTACAACCGCGACGTGATGAAACGGTTCGAGCGCAAGATGGACGAAATCAAACGGCTGGCCCGCGAGATCGTCAAGCCCCTGATGCGGAACTTTCTGGAACTGGACCTGAAAGACAGCAGCAGCAGCAGCAGCAGTACCGGCCATAGCAGTGAAGGCGGCGGACTACCCTACTTGACCTGCACCAAGGTCGAAGATGAGGATATTCCATGGGAGTGACATGATCCACCAATCAATCACCCAGTGCAACAACTCGACACGCGACACGACCTCCTTTTTCATCTACTTGAGCAGCTTCTCCTCTCCCACTTACGATTTTTCTCATTGATTTTGATTCCTTTCGATACCCGGTTCATGAATATAGTTTTTTACGGTTGATGGTTGATGGTTGATGGGTTAACGATATACACGGATATGAGGTTTACGTCTACTGTTTTTTTTTCTTGGTTTTTTTCCCTTCCTCTTGAACCTTTGATTTTCTTGTTTATCTTGTTCGAGTTTTTTTCTTCAGTGATGAATGATGATGCTATCCACTCGCCAAAATCCCAATTAGTCCGTCCTAGTCCTAGTCCTAGTGAATGTCTTATGAAGTTATGAATTACAGATAGGGTGTCTCTTTTCTCCTTGTTTCTTCGGGCTTTTGACGTACGCACTCGTCTAAGCGTCATTTATCGTACATTGTAATATAATCACAACCCCCTTGTATAGAGCAGAGCATAGACTCCTTCCTGTGTAGCCATGGAAGAGGAGAGAAAGAGAGAGGGATCCTCACAATACACGTAACATAATCATACATTCCAGTTCTCACCGCACAGCTCTCAGAGCTGTAGGTATACCATCTACCCAAACATCACCTCGACATCACTTCTGCTTCCCGATGACCTCAATTCCGCCCATCCACCCGCGCAGCACCGCCGGCACGACCACCACCTCCCGCGCGGGGTCCCAGCCGTGCTCCAGGATGGCGGCCAGCACGCGCGGGACCGCCATGGCCGTGCCGTTGACGGTGTGCGCGAAGCGCGTGGGGCCCTTGGGTTTCTGGGCCTTGCCGTCGCGCACGCGGGTCGCGAGGCGGCGGCTCTGGTAGTCCGTGCAGATGGAGGCGGAGGTGACCTCGCCCCAGGCGGATTCGAGCTGCGCGGCTGCGTCGGCGACCGCATTCGCGGTCGGCGCGGTGGCCGGGACACTGCGCAGCCGCGAGGGGAACAGGACCTCGATGTCGCGCTTGCGGCTGGCGCTGGCGCCCAGATCGAAGGTGGGCATCTCCAGGACGCGGGCGGGCAGGCCCAGGGCCTGCAGGATTTCGGTCTGGATGGTCAGCAGCTCGGCGAAGAGGTCGTCGGACGAGGTCGCGGATCCGAGCGAGTCGGCCCACGCGAACATCTCGACCTTGGTGAATTCGTGGACGCGGTACAGGCCCTTGGTGTCGACGCCGCGGGAGCCGGCCTCGGCGCGGTAGCAGCGGCTGGGGCCGACCAGCTTGAGCGGCAGGTCGGCGGAGTCGAAGGTGCGGCCGGCGTGCATGGCGGCCAGCGGGATCTCGGCGGTGCCGGCGAGGGCGCGCTGCGGTCTCGCGCCGTCCTTGTCGGCCTGCTCGAGGGTGAAGATCTGCTGCTCGTTGTGCTGGTCGCGCGGCTGGAAGCCGCAGGCGTCGGCGATGTGCGAGTAGACGATCGAGGGCGGGGCGACGGGCTTCCAGCCGTGGCGGCGCGCCACGGTCAGCGCGTACTGGATGAGCGCCTGCTCCAGGAGCGCGCCCTCGTTGGTGAGGAAGTACCAGCCCCAGCCCGTGGTGGTGGCCGAGCTGGTGAAGTCGAGGAGGCCCAGCGTGGTGCCGATGTGGACGTGCGACCGCGTCGGGTCGGGCTTGGAGGCCCAGTCGGGCAGCGGGGAGGCCGGGTCGAAGTTGAGGTAGGAGATGAGCGTCGGGGCGTCGCCGACGGGCGTGTCGGCCGAGGACAGGTTCGGTAGGGAGAGCGCCAGCCGCTGCATCTCTTCATCGCAGGTCTGTTGCCGCGTGAGCTGGGCCTGGGACTCGCTTCTCAGGCGGGTCGCTTCGGCGCGCAATTGGGAGATGCTGGGCTCGGCGGTGGGGGTGGCATCGTCCGGGTGCTTTGCTTGGGCGGCGGCGAGCTCCGCGATGGCTTTCTCGAGTTTCTTGATCTGGGACCGTGGGTTCCGGAGGTTGACGTCGATCTCGCCGATCTCGTCGTACAGCTGCTGGATGGTGGAGGGGTGTTGCGCGTGAGCGGGGTAGTTGCGGTCGCGACAGTTCTGGGCGTATAGCTCGGGGTTTTTGCGGATGTGCTTCACGTCGGGGGTGGGCTTGGGCGCGGTCGGCGGTCGGACAAGCTGGGAGCGGCGGCGGGCGGAGGAGGAGAAGGTGCGGCGCGTGAGGGATCTGCAGCCTAGGCAGATATAGGGGGGGTTTGGCGGAGGCATTGCGGAGGGGCTGTGCTGTGTGGATTGGATTGAGGTTGAAGAGGCAGCAGAGGAGGAAGAGCGGAAGAGAGCTGGAGATTGAAGGTGAGCGGAGCTGGCAGACATGCCACCTTTCCCGATCGGGTATTTACACTATATCGGCTGCCTCAGCTCCAGAACTTATTCATATCAAAGTCTTGATACCATAAGATGATATAATATCGACTAGAAAGGCTCTGGAAAGCATACTAAATAAACCAATAGAGATAAGAAACATCGCTAGACAACCCGATCATGATGTATATACGTACATGCTATGCGGAGAAACAATCTGTGCCAAAGTCATATCATATCATATCCAAGTTCATCCCATCGTTCCACTTCCACACACCAAACCAACTATACCACACCTCTTTCCCCCCTCTCCTCTATAGTCCCCATTTACCCTCCCCAACTTCCACCTCTACAACCCCAATTTATGCTTCCGAATCCTCGGCCCCACGCCAACCATCACCAAAACCGCCCCGATCAGCACCCCCCACAGCGGAATATCCAACACATTGACGTTGTACGTGGTCTGCGTCGCCGCAGCCACCGTCGCCAACTCCAGCACCAGCAGCAGATACCCGGACTGGCGGTGGTACTTGTACAGCGTCTTGCCGCGGTCGACACTGCCCAGGACCTGTCGGGGCAGGAAGTACTGCACCACGCCGCCGGCCGCCTGCAGGATGATCACGATGTAGGTGATCAGCCCCAACACGCCGTGCGGGGAGGTGAGCCGGGCGTGGTCGCCCTTGTTGATCTCGATGATGAGGAAGGCGGCCAGGAAGCCCAGCACGCTCAGGGCTTGGATGGTGTAGTGGACCACGGTGCCGCGGCGTTTCTGGGCGGCGGTGGCGGTCGGTTGGAGGATGAGGGCGGCTTGGATTTGGAGGAGGAGGGCGGCGGAGTTGAGGAGCTGGACAGGGGGGAGGAGGTTAGATGGACCGGTTGGATGAGAGGGAAGGGAGGGGGGGGGGGGACTGACGGGGTGCGGGGAGAAGAAGATGAGCGGATGCGAGAGGATGCCGGTCCAGACGAGGATGGTGATCTGGTTAATGGCATTTGGTTAGATTCTTGGAGTAGTTCGATGGATGAGTGGGCGGATGTGGTGGGTCCTTACCAGCAGGATGCCTACTTGGGCAGCGAGGGCAGTGCCTGGAAGGTCGGATGAGGTTCAGTCAGTGGTTATTCGTGCGATATATTGAGTGCTGGGATACGCACCTCTGTAGAGGTTGGGATACAGAGAAGCATTGTCGTCGTCGGACTGAGGCCCATTGCCGGGAGTGGACAGCAGCGGAGAATCCTCGCGGGAATCGATGCTGTCGGGATGCAGCTGGGGGATGCCTGTGGCGGAGGCCATGAGGGCGTTGTAGTACTTGTTACAGGATGGCTCAAAGAGATGAGACTCCGATGGAAGTATAGAATATAGAATATAGAGTATCGATGATCAACTGGATTGTTGGAAGTGGCCAATGGGCAGAGGGTTATATGTCAGAGAGGCCGAAGCGAGCATGACGAATGTGGGGAGCGAAATGATGAATTGCTGCGGGGAAGATTGGAGTTATGAGTTATGAGTTCAGTTATACCAAGCTACTTCCTTCCATACAAGTTCAGTTCCAGTAAGTAAATCATAACCCCGAGTTTTCATTATCTCCGAAAGACTCCGGCTCAGCATCTGTCTATATCTTCAAATTATCAGGATGCAATTCCTCATCAGCTCCTGTGTTAATCTCTGGTAGGGGTTCAGTAAAAAGCAAGAAATTCAATCAGTCCAGCATCATGAAAAGCATATGTGTAAATATATTAGATTCTTGGACAGTCGGAAATTGCTTTGTCTGATTGAGAGATTTGGTGGAAGCTATTGAGATAAGGAAGAATCCTTATCTTACCGTACTGTACCTTACCTGAACAGCAAGTACTGTATAGTACGACAGTGCTACCACTACAGTGCTACCACTACAGTGCTACCACCACCACCACTGTCAAACAACCCCCGTTGATTATCATCCGGAGGCATCCACCGCAGCTATTCCGAGTCCTCACTAGCATCCTCGGGCGCGGTGAAGTAATCCGACCCTAGACGCGAACCGGGGGAGCACGTGCCCTCGCTACGAGCTGCGCGAACAGCACGGCGGGCCTCGAGAGCCGCTCCGTCAGCCTGAAGGGCATAGTCTCCATAGTGATAACTACCCGGATGGTGGGTGGAGGCCTGGCAGCGAACGATGCTTTTGGATCGGACTCGACGGGGCCGCGTCTCGGCATGTTTGGCAAAGTGTTCCGCCCAGGTGGCCTCGAGAGGCACGGCTTGAACGGGGGTTGCTTCATCATCGGTGGCGGTTGCAGCAGGAGCAGGAGCAGGAGCAGGATTAGGATTCGGCGCCCCCTTGCCATCAGTGACAGTGGTAGCCGCTCTCTTGGAAGCGGCACTGGTCGACTTCGCGACAGTTGCAGGGCGAGCTGCGGGGTGTGGGGTCGATGCACGAGGTGGAAGAGCGTGAGGGTGTGGCGCCCAGGGGCGCATGCCCTCCTTCTCTGCCTCGAACTGAACGTGAGCCTGTTCTTCGGACATTGTCAGTTTGGGTAAAACTTAATCTGAATGCGTCTGTTGGTAGACAGGAGCGGTCAGTGGCGATGTATGACGGTTTGGGAATGAGGAGCATTCGATCTGCTGGTGGGATTCGTGTCTTTATATAGTTGCGAGTCAACCGGGAAAGAACAACATTCATCGTCAATTGCATAGTATCATCTGGCAACTACATCAAAGAGCACGGTTATCGAGTCTTTATTGGGGGAGCAGTCGAGACATTCAACTAACCGAAATCCTCCACCATCAGTCCTGCCTAGTACCAACACAAAGGATTCTGAAGCTATTCTCTATTGTTCGCGATATACCAGTGCCGGTCTCTCCCGTCACCGCCAGGGCAACTTGATCACCGCACTCTCCATCCCCGACCCAGGCTTGCCAAACACAACCTCTGCTCCCAGATTGCCGTCCTCCAACCGCATCACGATATTGAACAACGTCGCCGTCCGGACAATCTTTGGCTGTGCGGGATCCTCCTGCCAGCAGATCGACTGCGGGCCGTCGCAGGTATCGGAGAAGATCTGACCGCGAAGCACCGTACCCGCAAGCTCAGCGCCATCCCCATCGAGGACTTTGCTGTCGACGATCTCTCTCGCCAGCTCACGCACCCGCGCCAACCGGACTGGCGACCCGGACAGCCACGGCGGCTCGATAACCCGCCGGTTAGCTAGAAAGTGGTTCGTGTGGGTGACCATGCCGTACTCGTCCTCGGCTAGATGCTCGTCCCCGAGAGGGGAGAGCTCCAGCCCGCGGGCGACAGTAGGGTCTGCGATGAGAATGTGCTGGCTGGAGGCGACGCCGCCCAGGGAGGACAGTTTCTGAACCGCCGCGTCGACGGAGACGCTCTCCAGACACAGACGCAGGGCGATATGGATCGGCAGTTTGGAGCTGAGACAGGGATGGGCGCGGATGGCGTTGAGGCAGACGCCCACGCCGGCGCTATTGAAGCCGATCTTGCCGACGATGCCGGCCTGCTCATTGTCAGCATCTGCATTATCGTCACGCTCAAACCGTACGGATTCTCACCTCCGTAACCATGTAGATGACTGGTTTATCCGGTTGGATGATCTCGACCAGTGCGAGATTGCCCTGTACGCGAGTGGTGAAATCCCAATTCTGGGCGAGAATGCGACCCCGTCCCCGTCGGTGCAGCGCGAGACTCGTGCAGCCATCGGCGAACTTGCCGAAGGAGATCTCGCTGCGGCAGTTCAGGGCGACGATCTCCAGAAGTGTGACGCCCGCCCCGTCGGCGATGCCCTGCATCTCGGCCAGGAGGTCGGGGGTGGACCGCGCGATGGTGGCGCGAAATTCCTCGGCCAGGTCGAGCACGGCATCCCACGACATCTTCGAGGTATGTTGGAACATGGCTTCGTAGACGGCGAGTTGGTTTCTGATCTGGGAAAGGAGCTGCTTGCCATGTTGCAGGCCGATCTGCGACAGTCAGATGCGATGATTGTTACCGAGGTCCTGCACTGGAGGTAAGCAACTTACTTCTCGCGCCGTGCCAGTTAGCACTATCTTGGGGGGTTCTTCTATCTCCACATGCATAGTGAGACTGTCGCGTCAAGCAGATCGATACAAAGGAGCAAAGACAGGGAGGAGGGAGAAAGACGGTGCGACCTGCGCGGGGGAAGTTCTTATCAATCAATCACTTGCGCCCGCATGGCCAAATGCGGGGAAAGCAAATCATGATAACCACTTAAGCCAGTGTGTTTACATGCCTGCATGCAACCTAATAAACTATGAGTTCTCTATGAATTCACTTCCCCGACACCTCGCTTAGGGGCAGCTGGCTCCCACAAACATGAAGACGATAATTCCAAAGCAGTATCAGATCGAGACCAGGCGAACAGCCTGTCCTACTCTCTCTTAGTTCATCTCCCACACCCACACCAGGCACCCATCCATACTGAGATCCACTTCCTTGTTCCCTCAGCCGTCTCTCAATGTTCTCTCTATCAAAAAAGTACACTCTCTGAAACACACTCTGCCTATAGAAACACACTCTCTCTATCGAAACACAATCTCTCTATCGAAACACACTCTCTCTATCGAAACACACTCTCTCTATCGAAACACACTCTCTTTTTGTTAAAACACACAATCTCTCCATCAAACTCACCCTCAGTCTCTCTCCCTTCCATTCAGACACCTGACCAACCTCACTAACCATCCCACCTCCCACTCCTAGCCAAAATGACCAAACCCCACCCAACCATCACCGAACAGCTCCAGACCACCTACGACGCCCTCCTCCGGATCCTCTACACTCACACCGACGCGCAGGGCATCTCGCACCGCCCCTACGGCCTCGACTGGATCGACTTCGAGCGCCTGATGTACCGCCTGCTGCTGCTGCAGGGGCTGGCGCGGCCCGGCGACCGCATCGCCCACGACCCGTGGGTGCTGTTCCTGGACCGGTATGCGCCGCGCTCGGTGCGCCGCTCTCCGAGCGAGGCCGGCCGCGTGGAGGTGGCGTTTTTCCCCAGCTCGATTCTGCAGTCGCCTTCCTCCGGCTCTCCGCCCCGCTTGGTTTCTGTGGGTGTTGTGCAGAGAGGTGGGGATGGTGGTCGTCGCAGCGTCAATGGCACTACCAACGGCTACACTACCAGCCGCAATGATAGCAACAACTACGCCCCCATGAACAGTGACAGCACTGGAACCCGTGCTCGGGTGGACTCCAACGGCCACGTGCACTTTGACCATACGGCTGTGCAGCGGGATCCGAGTCAGAGACGCTCGCCTTCTATCCCTAGGTACTTTCAATGACTTTTCCTCTTAGGGACAGGTGAGTTTGAGACGCTTAGACAGAAGAGCGAGACTGTTGATGCGTGTGCAGGATTACGTTAACAAAGAGATACAGGTCACGCACACTCCATGCTGTCAATGTCCATGTGTTCGTGACTGATAAAGCCATCACCTTTGATTTCTTCTGGAAGTGAAGGAACGAAATGCATGATGCATCTGGTGCAAGACTACTGGGGGTGTTCTCTGGAGTTGGAGTTCGGGTTGACTTTTGTTCTGGCCAAGTGTACAGAGTATTCTTTGATTCAAGGGGAGTTCTTTTTGCTGATGCAGGGGTGGTGGTTGTTGTGTTTGTGTACAGTGTACAGTACAGCGTGTGTTTTCATTCTGGTATGTGCTTGAGATTGTTATGAGAGATGATGATGATTATGAAAGTCTATGGGCTGGGTGGATGTGATGGAACGGCGTCTAGGCTTTTGGTCCGGCGTTCGCCAACTACCTTACATTGAAAAAGTTCGAGTTGGGTGGTGTTTTCGCAAGCGTTGTGTTGTGTATGGAAGAGCGTGTGGATTGTACGATCTAGGGATCAGAATCTTTCCTGTTGTTTCTGCTTTCGATGTACAGTACCGAGTTTGTACCTACTTCTGAATTACTTTTGTCGAATTGCAGTCTACTGGTCTGATAGGCGAGTGGGTGAGCCTTGATGAGTTTGGGGTAGCCATAGATTCTGTAAGTGATCCGATGAAGCTCAGGGATGGGCTATGTGGAACAATTTCTTGACTCCTTGGTAGTTGGTTCTAGCTACGGTAACTTCTCTGTGTAAACAAGCCTGGTGAAAGCCTTTGGATCACGTGGCCGGTTTACTCAGAAATATCGACACACTTCATTGGAGAAGTATAAGATTATGCGATTCCCTCTCTTGCCCAATCGTTCGGCCCACCCAGTCTACTATACCTCCTCTATCTATCCCGACTTATACTAGTATCCGAGACAACTTGCAGACAAAGTACCGTAAGCAAAAATCCCGACCCTCTCTCGCAATCAGAGTTTGCCAATGCAATGGCTGAAACAGCGGCATATCTGCTTATCCCCAACTTCGGGCCTATCGTACCACCCACCGTCATAACTTTGTACACGATCTCTTTACTTTTTCTAACCGCGAACTGAAACCGAAAACCTCCGATGGAAGCCTATGTCTCAAACCTTCATCTTTCTCAGATGGAGCATTCATTTAATATCTGCGTCTCTGAGACAGAAGCAAAAACCAAATGTCATCGTCATTGTCATCGATCGTCTCGGGTCGAGCTTGCATGTCGATAATCCGAGTCAAAGTGGCGGCACTTTCCTCCCCACCCAAGTCTCTCATCAATGGGGAAAGTGATGGTTCAATTTCTGGATCGGTGGTGTGACGGCGGAGGTTTATACATAGTAACCTGGCCACTGACTTCCAAGATCCACGTCGATTGAAGTATACCCACCCATACTGTAGTTTATCATCTTGCCGCTCCAGTCGCCCTCCTCCCCTCGGATGACTGAGACGTCATAGGTTAGCTAGTCCCATAGCTTATCGACGAATTATCATGATCAGCTACGGTTCTTAAGTACTGTATCCTGTCCTTGCTGACAGAGGGGGTTCTTGCTTTGGCAGTGATGGTTGCAGCTGTGACAGGGGCAATTGTATGATGAACCCAGTACTGTACCTACAGATTCGGTTCTTGCTCTTCCAGTTTCGTTGGATAAGGGCTTGGGAAGCTGTAGTCCAGTTTATACCGGGACCTAGAATAAGGCAACTATCAATCTATATACCGTACAGTACCTTATAGTGCAGTACTTTACTAGAAACCTTGACATTGGATGGGACCTTAGTGTAGCTGTTATAGCGTTCCTAAAGAGGAAATAAGATAATGCCCCCGGGGCCAACTCACCACTTCCTTCTTCTCTCGAAACTCCACGAGATCCCGGAAACACACAGTCCCTACTTCACCTCAACCCCTCATGCAGACCGCTCCAACCAAGACAGAAACCGTTACCATTGCCACAGGAAAACAGGAGATTTACACAGCCGTTGGGACGAATCCTGCACCAGCAAGTCGAGCATCACTTTGATCATTGCTAGCTCAACGCTCACAACATACCAGTCCAGTGACACGGCAGTCACGATCTCACCTGGTTCTGTACCTATGTACAGTACCTATGGAAGTAAGTCAGTGTGTGTATCAGTACGCAATACGCAATACGCAAGAGAAAATTAACACTCGGGTCGGATCGTCGACTAGGCGACGTTGACGTTGACATCGACATCAACATCAGCAGATCAGATCAGATCGCATCCCCTTAGCCCAGCCCTAGCCTCATGATCTACACCACCCGAAAGAGACAGGGGGTCCAGGGATCTACCTGTCTCTCGCCTCGACCGTTGGAAAGTCTTGTCTCAGACTGATTCCAACCGTTGCGTCCCCCCCACCCTTGCCGGAATGAAGGATAGACACTTCCTTCAAAGGAGGCAGATCGCATCACTACATATCTGCAAGGAGCCCGTTGACCGGCTGAGGACCACATGATCAAACCATACACCCACACAACAGACATACAGTATCCACGGATGGAGGCATGAACCATGCATTGCCTGGAAAGGGAAGTGAGAAATGAAGAAAAGACAATGACAAAAAAACAGAAACATGAAAGGAGAAAAGGTTCATTAACCCCTTTCCGAGAGACCTCAGAGACCTAGTCAGTATGACAGTGGCGTTGCTCCAAGGACACTGACAGAACTGCTTGCAACCAGAGATCCAAAGTCCTGTCTGTCATCGGAGATCCCCCTTTGAAACGTCCTAAGAACGAAAACGTCAGGAAAGATCATAGAACCAACCCTCCCCAACCTTCGGTCCTGCCCACTCTGCCCGTCATGCTTTTCTGATCCTCTTCGAGTCTTCTCTTCGCCCCTAAAGGTTGCACAACAACGCATCCAGCGGCTACATGCAGATCACTTCGGAAAGAGCCACGAATCGGGGATTATTAGGCCAAACTGTCATCGAGGGCAGCCAGAGCTCGCCCCTTATACCAGTACCAGCGGCGAAAGAAGGAGGCGGCTGCTGCTGCTGCTTGTCCACGACCAAAAGAAGTAAACCAGGGTTTCTCCCTGCTCTTCGTCCGTTGGGAGTAGCCGTGAAGCCACAACACACACACATCTGTTTCTGTAACCTTGGAACCCCCCCATTTTACCCCGGAAAATACCCACCCAACGTCCCGACCAGGTAGGCATCACCTCCTGGCGCTCGCTGGGACACCTGGGCTAAAGATGAACGACATTCCTCTCAGGGACAGAACATGCGACATTCTCTCATCTGGGCGCCCTGTTTCTTTTTTGGCGGGTAACTGGGATCAACCGGTGTAACAAACAGGTCGCATGGCCTTCTTTCTTTTCCTTCCCTCGGGGTATGATGCTCGTGTTGGAAAGACGGGGTCAAACTTCGGTGAGCTTTTCGCTGGCTATGATGAAGAAGGCGAAATTTTCGGCGGCCCACTACATATGCAAGATCCGCACCAGCAATATGATGGAAAGAAGAGAGGGCATGAGCACACCTCCCCATCGCCGCCATCGATCCGGACCAGGTTATGGGGTCGTTTTGGAAGAAACGGGAGGATAGGCTGCACTTTCAGGCACAATCATGAAAAGCCCAAGGCACTGCAGCAGGGTAATTGAAACCACGCCTCCCGTTCGCCCCCTCCTCCACCACCATAACCTCCTCCCCCATTCTCTCCCCTAGACCGACCGACGATAGGCTGTGCCGGTGTCATCTTGACGGTTTCACAACTCATCCCAAACAGGCAACGAACGAGACCGTCATCCGTTTCGGCGATTGGCCCCCTCGGGCAACAATCACGAGATAACGACACGATTGGGACTGGGCACGAGTGATTCTCGAACACCTCATCAGCTCATCCCAGGGAAGAGGAATTTATAGAAACAAAATTATAAAAAGTGGTGCTGGCTTGTCTGTCGTCTTTGGGCTCCTCACTTTCTTTTCCTCGTCCTTGTTGGCAGCAGGTGCATCTGATGGTCCTCGTTGGTATCACCGTGGTCCCTGTCACAGGAAAGACAGACACTGAGGAATATTAGGGTCTGGGAGGCAACAGATTAAGATAAAGACCAAGGAAACTCCTTGACCTCCATTGAAGAATCGCTCTCGAGCCCATTCCAGCCGTTCCTCTTTCTCCTGTGTCTTCTGGAAGTCCAGCAGAACAAAACCTTTCTCTCACACAAACCCTTTGGGGCCGTGTCTTCTCCCTCTCTTCTTCATATACCTGGGGAACATCACGAGTGACTTCCACTACTTGACACGGCGAAACCCCTCATCTGACAAAGCTCTATTGAACTTCATTGGCTTCTTGCTGCCCTTGGGCCCCCCTTCACCACTTGATCTTCTGTGATACTCTCATCCTCTCACGGTCTTTCTCTGACGCTCTCCACCTCTGTCTCTGGATAGCAAGTCGGCCCGCCATGCCACCCAAGGGCCTTTACTACCAGACTGCGCTCCCCGAAGCACGCGGGCTGAAGTATGACGAGTCCGATATGGCTCTCTTCCACGCCAAGCTCTCCTATCACTCCACCATCGAAGCCCGCATGGCATCCAAGGACTCCAATCTAGCATCGATCTCGGATGCCCAGGCGCGGATCCTCAAGCGCTGGGAGATGCTGAAGCAGGTGGAGAAGGAGATGGCAGACAAGGGCAAGTCTCTGTCTCCCGCGGAAAGAAAGCAGCTCGCCCAATACGAGTGGCGGTATAAACGACTGGAGGAGGTGGCGACCCAGAGCACTAGCTGAATTGGAAAAAACAAAGAAAAACGAGAAGAGAAAAACAAACACATATGACATCGTCGGAGTGGGGAAAGATAGCATCACTGGCGTTGGTTTAGATGTGGATTCGAACAACGCACTGGTGTCAAGATCAATGGCAAGTGAAGAGTTGCGCCTTGTGGTTTAAAAGTGAACCGTAGAGTCCTTCCATGTGTTTTTGGACTGGTTTTGGGCTTGATTTTGTTGTGTTATTCTTTTTTTTTTTTTTTTGAGTCTCTCCTCTCTCATTCTGTTCGTATGAGTTGAATAAATGTTAATCCAACGGTTCCCACCTCTGCCCCAAATATAATGGAAGTCGCTCATGCTTCTTGACTTATCAATGCACCGAGTGACTGCAATGGCCTCATCTATCACAGGGTGAGTACACTCGTGACCAGCTCACGACTCAAGGAAGGCAGGGTAGACCTCCCCTCCCTCCTCCCTCGAGAAGCTTTCACATAGTTCATGGTGGGGGCAAAAAGACAAGAAAAAATAGAAAAAGGAAAAAGAAAAATCCCCGCGACGTCACTAATGTAACATAGCCTCTCCGAGTCGAACACAGCATCTTGCACTTACACTGTAACTGTAACCAAAGAGGCGAAGCCCGCCTCCCCCACCCCGATGTAGATCCAGTACTGTACTTCATCGAGATCAGATCAAGCATGTGTCTCAGACAAGCCACCAACAGAATAAAAGCACAATAAACAATAAGGAGTATGCCAAAAATGGGGTCGAAGTGGCGCTCACGGCAACTTTTTCCTTTGCTTTATTTCCCTGTTCCTTTTTCGACTGTAGGTATCTATGTCTTCATTCGAGGGTCAAGTCACGTCACGCAAAAGCCATTGAATCGTGAACGGCTCGTCCTCCCTCCTCTCTGGTGTCCTACATCGGGCACGCGACATGTCATCTTCGGCCTAGTAGTTCCTGCCACAATCCAGAATCCAGGGAAGTCAAGGCCGTGTCAAAGTCGCGGCGTGTGGTGTTGACACAGACGCACACACGCGCGCGCGCGCGACTCCCCATCTTGGGAGGGTCAATTACCACATACCACGCATCTTCCGCCTCCGCCTCCGTCCGTTCTGACTAGAGGCCAAGGGGGTTTATCCGAGGGTAAATGACATGGACAAGAGGGGTTTGAGGGAACCAGGAGCAGTAGCTGTGCGGTGAGGCGTGACGGGGAGGGAGTGAGGGGGGAAGAACAGTCACGGCACGGCAACTTTCAGGACCAGACCTCCATACAGTAAGTACATTGCCTGACAGGTTTTTGATTTCTCCCCGAGGCAGAATAGTAGTACTAGTAGTAGTGGCTGTGGAATGTGTTCCTGTGAGTGTTGGCTTCCCCTCTCTCCCTCCCCCCTCTCTCTCGGATGGAAATAGAGTTGCAATTTGTAAGTGAGGGTGTGTGTTCCCCTCGGAAAGATGCGAACGTCGGAGACCTCCGAACGGATCCTAAGGGGTGAAGAGGTGGGTGGGCCCGGTGGGTGGGTGTCTGTCCGTTGTTGACAGCTTGGGTGTGGTATGTCGATTGAGGTCGGATTCTATAGCTGCCTCTGTTAGCAAGTGAGCTGGTGAATGAGGGAAGCTCAGATTAACACACCTGTTATCATCCAGCAAGATCACGCAGTTGAATGTAGACAATGAAGGTGGAAACAACAAGGAAGGAAATTGTTGGAGAAGGAAGATTAAAGTGGGGAAAGGGCAGGCAGGCGATGAAGCGATAAGATCGAGTAATGCGGGAGAAAAATCGGCGGCGGGGAAGCATTTCTTATCGAGGTAGTTATCGGGAATCGGCAGTGCCCCTCTCCTTGACGTCGTCTCTATAAAATGTCATTCATTCCCTCAATTTCTCTCTCTCCAATTCCTTCTCCTCCTCTTCTTCTTCTTCTTCTTCCTCCACACCAATCCCTCTCCTCTCTCCCTAATTACTTCCAATACATCTCCAAAAAAAAATAAAATCCACCACCCAAGAGAACCCACGATGGCCACCACCACCACCACCACCACGGAATACCCCTACATCCCCGGCGCGGACATCGACCGCACCTTCGCGCACACGACCAACCTGGCCTCGTCGGCGCTGAACACGCGCATCCTGGCCTGCAGCAACGAATACTTCGCCGCGGCGTCGAACCTGCTCACGCCGACGGCGCCGATCAACCGGCCGGGGGTCTTCATCCACACGGGCGCCTGGTACGACGGGTGGGAGACGCGGCGCCACAACCCGGCGCCGTACGACTGGGTGGTGATCAAGCTGGGGCCGGCGCGCGCCGCCATCCAGGGCGTGGAGGTCGACACGGGCTTCTTCGTGGGCAACTACGGCGAGCGGGCCGAGGTGCAGGCCACCTGCTCCGACGCCGACGACGCCACCCTCGCCGACCCCAACTACGCCGGCTGGTCCACCATCCTCCCGCCGCAGCCCTGCGGGCCCGCGCAGCGCCGCGCCTGGCTGGTGCCGGGCTACGACCCCAAACGCCCCACCCCCTACACCCATGTGCGCTTGCTCATGTACCCCGACGGCGGGTTCGGGCGGTTGAGGCTGTACGGGCATGCGATCCCGGCGGCGGCGGCTCACGCAGAAGAGGCAGAAGAGGAGGAGGAGGAGGAGCTGTCGTCGGCGCTGTGCGGCGGGCTGGCGCTGGCGGCCTCGGATCAGCATTATACCCCGTGCTCGAATCTGTTGCTGCCCGGCCGCGGGAAGGATATGGGCGATGGCTGGGAGACGGCGCGGTCGCGCGCCCCGGGCCATGTCGACTGGGCGATCGTGCAGTTGGGGCTGGCCGGTTCCGTGTCGAAAGTGGTGGTCGATACCAAGGACTTCCGCGGCAATTTCCCCCGCGCGGTACGGGTGCACGGCTTGGTGCAAGGGGAGGTTGGCGAGGCCGGCTCCGTCGCCGTCCCCGCCCATGATCATCCCGGCTGGGTCGAGATCGTCAAGGGCGACCAGCGCTGTCAGGCCGATACCGAGCATGTCTTCCAGGGCGCGGATCTGGCCCCCGGCGTCGATGCCCAGGCCTTCTCCCATGTGAAGCTGACGCTCGTGCCGGACGGGGGCGTCAAGCGCTTCCGGGTCTTCGGCAGACGGGCCTAGGCTGCTGAGGCTTGTGGTGAGCGTGCCTTGTGTTCCGTATATAATCTTTCAGCGTCGGAATTGCCAATAATGAGAAATACGATTCGATATAAATATCTAATTCAGGCGGTTGGTATGTACGGCAGAGGGGAGGCTTCCAGGACAGTAGTGTGTTTTCGACTGCATCTAAGCATATATATTACAGGCAAAAGCAGGAAAAAGTTAAGCTCCGTATAAATCATCGTTATAGCTTGCTAGCAGCCAGACTAGGTAGGGTATATCACTATAAAAATTCAATAATCTACTTCATCATGAGGGATCACAATCAATCGATCGACAACAGTGGAGACGCCGCGGCGAAAATAACACATGCTCGGTTGGGTGTTGCAAATACAATTCCAGAAGGTTAGAAAGGTCGTGCTCGTGAAAAAAAAAGCTGGTATCGGTATCGGCATCGGATTCGGTATCGGTGAATAGGGCCCGCGCCTAGGCAGAAGAAGAAAGATGGAGGGGTTTTCTCAACACTGATCCCCTAAAAGAACAAATTGACGCCATGAACTAAAAGGCCCGGAGGTCCAAGGAACAACACAACAAGCATGCAAACCCCCGCCCCGTGTGAATGCTGAAAGGTATCAATTCGAACTGGCATGCCGAATGCAAACAAATGCCATGGAGGAACGTGGTCGCAACCGTGATAAGTGTGGCGTAGAAAGCAATATCAATCAAGACTCGAAAGATCATCCGGGGCGCCGTTCCCTCCGATACTTCGTTCCCGGTCCCAAACAAAAAGTGAAAAAGAGACGAAAGATATTATAAACCCCCTTGGCACAAAGCAAATAAATCGGGTTTGAATACGTAACAGTACATTGTGGCACTTTCTGACTGCTGCTGCTGGAGGTTGGAGACGCGCAGAAAGTTGACAGACAAAAGAGGAATTGCCGACGTGCGATCGAGGACGGTTCGCGCGGGCGAAAGCATCTACTCGGGGCGGAACTTCTCCGCATTCTCGGCCTTGAGGCGGTCCCGTAGAAGAAGCAACGGCCGATTAGGGTCAAGGAGCCCCATCATCATCTTCCCCAGTTCATTGTGTTTGATGGGCTTGGTGACATAGTCGTTGAAGCCAGCACGTGCGGCATCCTCGATCTGATCTGTCATCGCGTTGGCCGAAAGGGCCATGATCGGGATTTGTGGGTAGTGGTTCTTTGATTCCCAAGCACGGATGTCACGACACGTCTCGTAGCCGTTCTTGATGGGCATTTGGATGTCGCACTGCAGGTCGTGTCAGCGAACTTGGGATCACTGAGTCCGCTTGCCGGGGGTGTCTTTCACTTACAATGATGAGAGAGTAGTATCCTGGTTCTTTGGAAAACACCATCTCTGTACACTCTTGTCCATTTGTGGCTGTCTCCGCCATTACCTTGATTTTGTCGAGGTATTTCATCATCACCTGAAACACGTTAGCATACAACGTAATGCACAACGAAAGGCACATGTATCCACACTTACCATACGGTTCGTATCATCATCCTCAACAAGTAGCACTCGGTAGCCCTTATTGCCGATAACCTCTTTCACCATTTTCGACATGGTCTTGAAATTGTTGTTGATTTCCCGGGCCATGTCCTGGTTCCTGTCCTTGCTCAGATCGCGTCGATTGTCGGGATCAAATATGGAGGAAAAAGCGGACGGCTTCACCGGCTTCGGAACAGTGTATATGCGTCTCCCGCTAGATGCCAATTCCTTGATCCTAGCATTGATTTGTCGCTTCTGATACAGATCGGAGATGATGACCAGACTTGGTGCGGCCTCCGGCTCGCACTCGGAGACATAATGCATCATATCCAGAACGTCATCCACGTTGGGCAAGTTGAGGACCAAATGGGTAAGCTTCGTGACATCACTGACTGAATCCCTCCAATCTTCCACATCAGGGGTGGAGGTGATAGAGAAGGGGACTTCCAGGGGGACCACCTGCTCGATATGTTGCTTGATAGCTTGACGGGTGTTGTCCAGAGGACAAAGAATAAGAATCGAGTAGGAGCTGGGTAAAGGCTGCGCGTCCGATCCGGTGTACTCCGTAGGCTTGGTCGAGGCAAATGATTCTTGCGAGGGTGAGGAGGAAGATTGCGCCGTTGGCTGCGAGATATCACCGCTTGAGAGGGCCGACTTGGAGTTGTCAAGCCTTGCTAATGGATCCAGCGTGTAGGGGTCTGGGGTGGGAAGGGCCGAGGAGATTGAAGACCTCTCGGAGAAGTTGATCGAAGGAAAGCGTACAGGGGTCTCGTAGCTTATCTGTGATTGGGTTAAAGGGGTCTCAAGAGTAGAGAAATCGGCCACGTCGGGTCCTCTGCTATCCATAGAGTCCTTCCTGAACAGCATCTTCTGCAGCGGATTCGGCTTGAGGTGCTCGAGGAAGACATCAGAGGTGCTGGACGATTGGCGGACAAGCCGCGGCTCGTCGGGAGTTGGCGGTGGAGGAGCGTCGACTTTGACATAAAACGAAAATTTGGCACCTTGCCCTTCTTTACTGGTGGGCGTCAACTTGCCACCATGCATTTCGACAAGCTGTTTCGATAAAAATAGCCCGAGACCGCTACCCGCATGCTGCTGAGAGCCGTTCTGTCCCAGTTGACTGAATCTCTGCATCAATCGCTCTGCATCCCTGACGCTGAAACCTTTACCGGTATCCACAACGTCGAAATTCAACAACAACTCCGTGGACTTGGGAGTGGACGGGATACCATCATAGATCGAGCAGCATATATGAATCTCACCCTGAGCAGTAAACTTGACTGCGTTGCCGACCAGGTTGATGAGGACCTGTCGTATACGAAACCTGTCTCCTATAACCATGGGTGGCACATTTGCGTCCATCAGATAGTTGATTTCAAGGCCTTTGTCGATCGCCCTAGACGAGACGGTGTCGATGACATCCTCAATCACAGACCGTACATGGAACCATGAGTTGACCATGGTCATTTTACCGGCTTCCACCCTGGAAACGTCCAGAATGTTATCAACCAGCTCTCGCAGGTTGGTTGAGCTATTCTGAATAGTGTCGAGCATGCGTCTCTGATCAGTGTCGAGCTGGGTGTCGAGAATGAAAGGGATGGTGCCAAGGATGCCGTTCAGTGGAGTCCGAATTTCGTGAGACATGTTGCTGAAGAACTTCGTCTTCGATTCCATCTGGTTATTGAGTTGCTGCATGGCTTTATTGAGTTCGCGTTCGAGGTTCTTGCGGTCATTGATATCCGTGCATGTGCCGTACCATGAAGCTTCTCCTTCCCCGCTTCCAAAACTGCTAGTCTCGACACAAACCAGACGAACCAGATGCCATCTGAAATCCCCTCCCCTGGAGCGAAGCCTTATTTCGGTAGAGTAAAAGACACGTCCATTCTCATCTCTTTGCACAGAGGCAACTCCACGCCTCACAAGTTCTTCCAATGCAGGTGTAACGCCCTGGCCAAATTGACTGTCTTGCGAGACAGCCTTACGAATGGCCTCCCCTGCACTTTCGCCGGGTTCGGCGGTGGACTCGATCTTCTGCGGCTCAGAAAGGTATAGGGAAAGAAGGCCGCATTTCTCTAAATCATCGGTGTGGACGTGCTTGGCGAAGCCGAAGTTCAGCGCTTCCTCCAGCTTTTGACCGGTGTAGAGGTGCCATTGCTCATTGACGAAGATGAGGCCCCTATATTCTGTAGCCTCGAAGACAATCTGGGGAATGGAGTTGGAGAAGGCTCGATATTTGGCATCGGTCGCGAATTTCTCTCTCTCTTGCGCAGCTTTCAATTCAGCAATATGTTGCTCGTGTATGTCGAGAAACGATCCGATCCAGTAAAGCACCTCCCCGGTGGAAGATAGCAAAGGGTTTGCCCGGAAGATGAACCATCGATATGCCGACTCGTCATTAAAGCGTTTGACCCGGACACGTTCCGTAAATTGTGACCCTGTACGTAATGCGTTCGCCCATTCCTGAGACATGTGCTCTCTTTCGCTGCTATGAATATTCTGCCAAACGTCCCGCAATCTCTGCTCTTGAGGTTGACTCCTTCGGTAGGCATCAAATTTCGAGTTGGTCCATATTACCTCTCCACTCTGAGGTTTCGCAAGGAAAAGATGTAAGGGTACCGAGTTCAGCATGAGTTGCGCCACTGTGTCGGAGAATGGACGGGGTAGTTCGCGTTGCAGCTGGGCGTAGAAGGAATTCGTCGAGGGATGGCGGGAGGCAGTCTGCGTTGGTGATATAACCTGGGGTCCTTTCACATCCTGGAGAGGAGATACAACCCCCGGACTTTGGTCTTGCGGTGTGGCATCTTCCTCGGCAGACTTACTTACAATTCTCCCGGGTGACGTGGGGGTTGATGACGCCATGTTCTGTCTCATCTTAGTCAATCTGTTCCGATGCTGAGTGATGGCGTCCCGAAAACTTTTTGACTGGTGCACGTTGAAGTAGCCATCGGGATTATCGGTCCCTGTTTTATGCACCGCCCCAGGCGATTCGCAGAAATTGCTGCCTCCTGACGCAACAAGACCGAGATCGACTCCAGGTGTTCCAAGATTAGATAGCGATGGGCTGAGCTTGGTAGAACTCGACCTTTCTTCTGGACTTGAGATACTAGCTCGAGCTGACAAAGAGCCATCGTCCGCTATCGTATAGCTCACATGGCCGCTGAGACCTGCGACCAGTTCCAGCTCGCTGCTTTCATCAGAGAAGGTTCCGCCGAGTCCCAGGAGCTGGCCATAGCGAGGAGCCTCAAGCCGCGAAGTGACCTGACGCTCAAGCTGGCTGTAGTGTTGCGCGAGACAAAATGAAGTGGTGAGGTGAGGCATGAGATATGATAACGATCTTCGCAAATTCGTGGGGTAAGGGATAATGGGAGACAGTATGGAGATCACGGCGACCGGGAATCGTAAGGTGGATGGCGAAGGGTCCTTGGCGCGACCGACATGCAGAAGAGGAATGTGAACCACCGACTTGGCCAGGTCAACGCCAATGGCTTCTAGTGGTCCCAAATTCGAATAATCATGAGGGGGAGGATTCTTTGCGAATGCGCTTTCATCAACGGCGTGACTGACAAAAAATGGATTCTGCTCCGCATGAGAGCGAGGCGCGGGCGATGGCGCAGGGGACTGAGACCAAGGAGACGGTGGCACCTGTTCATACTCATCAAACAATTCCATAGACGGGGTCCCCCTAGTCTTGAACAGACCAGGATTGGATACCGCTCGCGTTCGAGCTGTAGCTGGTTTATTGGAGGAATTTGGTTCAACAATTGGTGTGGCCTGAGGTTTGTCTTCTGGGGTTTCGAGGGGATCTCCTTGACCTGGACGATCAGCCGGCCCCTCTGAATACTCTCTTGTCAAAACAACAGGATCGGTGCGCCCGAAGAGCTTCACCACCCCAGTTCTCTTGATTAGCGGGTCGGATTCGACTTCCAGCGGTCGGGGCACGGGGAAAACTGCTTGGCGATAGTTTGGCAATCCAAACGATGACACCGGTTCCTTGGTTGGGGTTTCAATCTCGGCATCTGCTTGCTTGTTCTCTGTTTTCGGTGGACAATCGATACTTTCGTCTCGTTGAGACTCCGGGTCGCGCCAGTCCGAGTGTTTCCGTTCCTTTCCAAAGCCAGCGAACGAATGCCGTGCCAGAAGGGACGGTCGCTTCGGCGAATGAGCAGCTTTTGACCCATTCAAGAGGGCTTCTGCGACAAGCCCTTTCTTCTTCCCTGGTCCTTCGCTGCTCTCCTTTGCGGGGTTATTGCCGCTCGAGGTGGCCTCACTTGGCACTCGGTCCGTTCGCACATCCTCCGCGTCGGCAGGAACGGCGTCTGGGTCGAAGACCGCTTTCTGACCCCATGGAACATTCTCCAAGTCTGTCGCATCTCCCGGTACGGCCAGAGATGCTCTCTCTGCTCCGTAGTGCGTCTGCAAAATCTGGACTACGTTCGCCCACCATGCATCTAACCCGGGATCCGCGTTCAACTGCAGAGTAAGTTCATACAGGTTGGGACTGGGGTAGGCGGGGTCCTCCGGTACAGGCCTATAATGAGGGGGTAGGAAAACGCCTTGAGGATGTGTAGCAGCAAATAGCTGATCGTCCGGGATATCGGAGGTCCCCATTCGGGCCTTCATCTTATCTGCCGGCAGGGTCAATTTGAAACCATTGTGATTGAATGCGGCGTCCCGTGCTGCTCTCGTTGAAAACTGCAACTCCATCCTCGGGAAAGGGTAAGAGGGAGTTGGGCCGGGGAGGTTGTCGGGAGAGGTGTTGGAATCCATGGCTCTAATAGTGCCACCAGAACCAGTGGAGTCGGAGTATGATGCAGAGGGCAATGCTCCCGCAGTTGAGAGGGTTTTCGCAAACGAGACATTGAGGGGTCGCTTCCTGGTTGACTCTGTGGTGCTCGGGGGTGCGGCCTCGGTTTGCGATGCAGAGATCTCTCGAGCAGCCGAGGAGGGTTGGCTTTGGGATTGTTGCATTTGTTGATAGACCAGTAATTCTTCCATCTGCCTCCGGAGTTCCTTGAGGGTCTGCAGATTGCGCCCTTGATCCTCCTGGGTTCCTTTTCCCGCTTCAGGGCTTTCTTTTTTCGGAGGCGACGGAATGTGGCATGCGGTCGCAGTCTGTTCGTGCGATATAGAGGAAGAGTGAGAGTTAGCATTCCACGTACTTTTCTCCAACGGCGCATCTCCATCAATTGCATAGTGAACATCATGGACAGAAATAGAATTGGTTGACTGCAGGGAAGGTCGACAATGGGATTGGGGCGCGGCGACAGGCGAAGGGGCCTCGGCCGGCGATGGAAGCGGAGGTGTCTTCATGCTGTTAACTTCGCCCATCCTAATTTCTCCCTCCACCGCCGGTCACAAATCAATTCTCCTGGGCGAATCCAACTCCACAGGAGCCAACTGAGGCACTCATCTCTCGGACAGAACGGTCCGCAATCAGATTTCGTGGATAAGGCGAGAGGAGATTGAAGAGGGAGCAGTTGGTGAAAATAGTGAAAAGATGCAGACGACGCGAAAACCGAACGAGCAAATCGAAGCGAGGATCCGAACGGTCGGAAGACAAAAAGAGAGTATTGGATACTATTGGAGCGGGATGGTGTATATAGCGCACACGGTGAAGAACCCGACGAGCGAAAAGAAAAGGGGTGGTGTGGATTGGCTCGAAATTCAAGGCAGTCGAAGGGGTTGGGGGGGGGGGGGGGGGGGCGCGCTTGATTCTGCGACCCAGAAAAAACGTCCGAGATGCGTTTCTTGGAGCTGAGATATGGGGCGTAGGCAAGAGAAAGGAATATACAAGAGAAAAAAAAGGGAAAAAGAGACACGAAGGGGAGGAGGAAATGGAAAATGGCAGACGAACGATTTTTTTTCCGAAAATGGGCCGTTAGAAGGAAGGTGACTAAAGCGGTGTATATCGGATGGTGGGAGTGAGAGGGGTGATGGTGGTGGTAGTGGTGTTGGGTGGGTATGGATAGAATGAGGTGAAATGAATTGGGATAGGATAAATGGATGGAATGGGGTTTAGGACTCGCAGTAGTGGTAGTGATGGTAGCAGGAGGAGCAGTAGTACTAGCAATACCAGCAGTACCAGTAATAGGGTGTTGAATTTAGTTGACGGAAGGAGATTAGGAGAAAGGCTGAACTTGATCTGACCTTTCCTAGTTGTAAAAGCAGAATGAAGCACTGGCAGCAGGTTCTACTGCTATGCTAAAATGCTAGTACAATAACGAGAAATAATGTATTGACCCAGCCAGCAAGAGATCGTCGATTTGTGCTGGCAAAGTTCAAGATGTGGAAATGGTCCGTCGCCCCGGGGGGGGGGAAAGTTCCAAGCTATGACGTAGCTAAGGCAAGCCCTAGACTGGGCTGGGCTGGATGAATGGGAAAGGGGGGGGGGGGGGGGGGGGGGGGACAGAGGAGAAGAGGAAAAAGAGAACAAGAGGGAAAGTAAGGGAAAAAGACCCAAGGGCTATTTTCGGCACTCTTTCACTCTTAATCTTCTCCTGTCAAAAGACGTCTCCCAGTCTTTGGGACTCAGTAGAGGATAATTCAGCAGAGATAGCAGCTGATTGATTGTCCGGTCTTGTTGACTGGCAAACACTAAGTAGACCCGTCAAGCCGCCGCAAATCGCCAAGTGTGGAAGAGACAGGAGAGAACCTGAAAAGAACAAACTGCAAAATTGAAGACAGATCGGGAGGGAAGTAGGATAGTCCGCTACGGGGAAAGCGAGAGCAACTTACAAGGAAGTCAGTCACAAGAGAACAAGAGAAAGGATGGGCAAACCAAGTAACCAAGTACTGTACTGTGGTAGTCCGTCTACTGCCTTGCTTAGTCTCAGTAGCGGGCAAAAAGGTCAAGGATCCAAGAATGAAGGAAAAGACCTGGCTGGACAAGGTCTTTTATTGACTAAAACAGTTTTCAAAGTCCCACTAGGCAATGAACAAGGTTCTTAGTATATTAGCTGCGATACATTATGCATTGTGGTGTATAGCAGCAGCACGAGTGCACATAGATAATAACTTCAGGAACCTTACCCCTCTAAATGATGCCACATCCAAATTAGTCGCAGGAACGACAAATGCTGGATGACATTGACATACCTAAAAGTAGACTAGTGTAAGGGCAGCCCCCGTCTTGAGTTTGCATCAAGTAAGCAAGCCCTCTCCGCCCATGCCGCCACCATCATCATCATTACTACCCAGTATCATCTTCTGTAGTACAGAGTAACTACAGTCAGTACTCTTATTAATAGATTATTGCTTGCTTATCCTCCGGTAACTTGAATACGGTGGAGCAACACAGTAGCTGCTCGCTCATGGCTGCATCATCGAGCCGCGACAGATGCCCGTCCTCTGCACTATCTCCGTACCCTCCTTGGTCACGAGCCACTTGCGCCATGCCTAAGGCTGAAAACTCCTCCACTTTCACCCCCCCCCCTTCACGTGAGACCCTCAGCTCTCTTTCCCGGATACTGGGTCCGTCTACTGTGTAGCAAGCAAATGGGACGGACATCTTGCAGGTGCAAAGAGTAGACGAAGAACAGAAACCAGAACAAAATGTATACTAGGTAGATTCTTCGTCATAGTACTTTCGTACTAACTTGGTAGGCTTTGCCGCTTCATTTGAAATGACCCTGTTAGTCGATCCCCGAGATCCTCAACAATGGTTCGTGAGGCACGCGATCTGCGCAATAACCACTAACAGACCATGTGTTCGCTTCACTTTTAGACCTTCTCAAGGTGGTGACTGGATTGTTGCTTCCATGAATGATGGCATTTCTCTTGATTTGTCTAGCCGAGGCATGGTAATTAGACTAGGTCCTCTGCAATAGCTATGCCCAGTTTTCATCGCGATACTATGTTATATATCGTCGTCCTCCTGACACTGCGTCGATGAGTTAGAGAACAACTTTTTCCTCAAGGTATCTTAATCGACCCAATCTTGTGAGCTTTGGATTCTTGATTTCTGCATAAAAGCTTTTAATTACCCCCACAAGGGTGTGACTCAAATTGTGCAATGGAAGAGGTTTGTTCTAAACACCTCAAGAAAACCGGGGTTTAGAACGAGAATGATGATCGTAGAACAGAGTCTCGGATTCGTGGTCTAGTACTGTACTCTGCGGACAAGTCTCGCTCGCGATGACGGCATGGAACCGTCAGTGTTCAGTCTTGCCGCGTGGGTTGGCAGTCTCCCAACTCAGACATTCAACTTCAGGGAGCTCTAAGTAGCTACTAGCTGGGAGCCTGCGACACCGCCTGCAGCGGCAGAGTCCATCCACGTATCACCTTCGGTAGTTCGTCTGCAGCTGTACTATACCTACCGTGCAGCGGACCCCCTTTCTTGCTGCTGGCGCTGCAGTGCTTACTTGTTGGACTAGTGTAAGTGCAGGAACCTGACGATCTAAAAGCCGATGGTATGACGAAGCCGTGTTCCATGTCGGTGCTGGAACACGTGGGAGGGGAGACATACTCTAGTACTCAAACTGTACATTGAAACATGTTGAAGTAGTCTGGCACAAGCGATCGGGAGTTCATGACAATGTGCCGGTGACACCTTCGCATGCTACCGAGTACTAGTTTAGTTAAACTCAGATTAAGACCGACTGACTTTCAGTCAGGCCCCAGAGCCCTGTTGAGTCCTGTTCCTCGAATCAGAATTCCGAAGTGGCCCCCTTTCTTCATTATGATATTCAGGAGTATGCTCTTTAGGCAAACTATTTCTTTGGTCGTCATGGGCTACAATTAAGAAAGTGCTAGTGTAGCCGTTCATGGGCAGACCAGTGCCATTGATCGTCCCCGTACTTTGGCTAATTCTTGGCAGCCTACTTCTATATGCATGATTTATGCATTGCACTGTACTACAATAGACCACAATGTGACAGGCACGAATAAGTAAAGAAGATTCTCATTTGAGGTAAAAAAAAGAAAGAATAAAAAGAAAAAAGGAAGGCAAATCTTTTAGTCTCTTACACTAGTCCTTACTAGAGTAGGAAAGTTGAACAAAGTGGGTAGAGAGGGCTGATGGTGATGGGTGGCATGTTGCCAGTCGGCCGTTTGCTGCCTGCCATCCTGAAAACGAGTAAGACAAATCGACGGCTGATCGGCCGCCCACTTTTTTTTTTTTTTTTTACTATGTATTTCAATTCCTTCAATTTCCCTCGTGATGCCCAACGGCAGCTGACTCAGCCCAGAGCGAACGAACCCTCTCCCAATGAGGGAATTTACAGCCTTAGGCAACTACTATACCCACTTCGTCCCCCTCAAACCATGAGTTCCAAAGTGCCAAAGTTCCTGTCTCGCATCGAAAAAGAACTGGAGTCTGTCAAAGTTGTTTACTCACACAACCCATCATCCTTGACCAAGGGGTAGGTCCTAGGGTTAAGGTAAGCCTACCATCCAAAAACTACATTCAATCTGAGCGAAGGAGATCCCCCCAAGCAAAGTGCGCACAACCGTGCGGTCTCGACTGGAGCCGTTGACCTTTACCTAATCTAGTCCCAAGGAGCGGCAACACTCACTCACTCACTCACTTTCGCTCCTTCGTTCTCCCTCCCTCCTCTCTCTCTCCCCACCGTCCTTGGCGACGATTATCGTTCAAACCGTTTTCGTTCTTATGAATCTTCTCTCGGACCACTCCGACCACCCCTTCTTTCGAGTACGAGTGCGTCTACACACGACAGCAGTCCATTCATCTATGGCCGTCAATTGAGGGGTGACATTCTGTCTGACACAATTGTTTATTGTTGGTTGCGATGGACGATAGCCATATCTTGGGGGACGACTTGCCACTTCCCCCGGCGCGGCTCTTCGAGAGATTGGCACAGCTACCTGGATATACATGGGATCAGTCCGTTGAGCCGTTCCACTCTACCTACAACCACTGGCACGTCTTCGGCCTTCGTCATGCCGTTGAATCTGATGTTTCCACCCCCGCCGCAACTTCCTCGGGCCCCTCCAGTCTGGCTCGCAATTCCCCGCGCACCGAATCCCGTCCCCCGTTTCGCCATCATTGGAGGAGCAGCCTAAGCGAGTCCAGCAGCGAATTATCGCTGTCTCGTATCGATCATGAGCCAATATGGATCCCAGTCGTCGCACGTGTCTCGTCCCACGTTGTCAGACTCGAGCGCGAATTTCATATGCTACGGTCGATTGTGCAAACTTCGGACCCAGATTGCAACCACACAATACGACCGATTGATCTGATACGACTGCCTCCAGACCCCGGGGATTCGGGCACTCTGCTCGTGGCCCTCTTCGAGTCGCCCGGTCCGAACATGCTGCGGGAGATGGTCGCTTTTGGACCCGCTTGGTTCGCAGTTGGCGGCAGGACCGACAGCAACGAGCCCACACCCGGAGAGCAGGTATCTCTTTCGGTATTTCTAGACTTTGCGATTGGGGCATGTGATTGTTTGGAACTTCTGCACTACGGCCTCAAAACCGTCCATGGTGAAATTCGGGGAGATGCCTTTCACTTCAACTGGGAGGCCCGTTCGGTGAAGCTGACCAACACTGGCAATGGAGCCCGTTCATTCGACAACATCTTGAGCGAGGGCTGGTCGTCGCTCTCGAGGGAACTAGGCGTCAAGAACAAGCTACAATTTATCGCACCAGAGCAGACGGGGAGAATGCCAACAGAACCGGACAGCCGAACAGATATCTATGCGCTTGGCGTGCTTTTCTGGACTATGCTGGTGGGCAAACCGGCCTTCACAGGCAGCGATCCCGTCGAAGTTGTGCAGAATGTTCTCGGAAAGAAGTTAGTTCCCGT